GTAACATTTACATAAACTGAATCATAGAACTGGCTGTTCTCTCTGGCTGCAGTCTGCACATTAGTATCTTCACCCACACACATGACATCTGAAGACCACCCACCCTCCCCTCCCATAACCCCCCTTGCATCTCGTTGCCTCTCGCCTCACCACCAACTCCCTCTCCCCTCCTTCTCTCAGAGCCTCCTCTTCTTGTTTCAGAAAATAAAGGCCACTCTGATGTTTGTCTGGTAATTGGTCACGATGAGGATGAATAGATGGGAGCGACGCATGCAGCACAAAGCCCCATTTAAGCTGATTTTCTTAATTCGTCCCTGATGTACTCTTTAAAAAAACAGAACGTTTACTACATTTAACAGAACAAACTTTCATTCATATTGTATAGTGGAAGGGATCACCTCTTATATTTATATGTCATTATGTAGTATGAGTGGACTGTTGATGCGTAACTTGCGTACAACCAATAGTATGTTTTGAATTTTCTGTACTTTTACAGTAATACTGAAATATTATGCTGATGTGTTTTGCACCCGGGCCACAGTCTGCTTGAACTGCTGCCATCAGAGGATACAGATGTATGAGAACAAGGACAAACAGACTGAGAAATAGGTTTATTCATTGATAATATCATACAAATAATTCATTCATAAACAAACATACAGTGAAGCTCACTTTAAGAGATTGTGCAACAACTGTTGAATATAGACGTCTGTTGGGTTTGTCTGTGATGCGTGTTGTAGCATAATAATTATACTGTATGATATTTTCTTATATTTTTTATGGCATTTTAGTACCTTTTGTAAAACTTGGTTAATCTTTTATGATGTCAACTTTATTTTTGCACTGATTCAGGTTTGCACTTTTTGTTGTACATGTTACAATGACAATAAAGATATGGTCTATGTTCTCTTTAATTAAATACTTGCAAGAATGATTGCTTTACTGAACATTCAAGAGGATATTTAATTATTGTTTGCTCTAAAGTGTCTTTCCCTCATGTTAAGAAAAAAGATTTCTTATAGACACAAGATGCTCGTCACTTTAATGATGTAGCTGTGATTAGAAATCCACTCTGGTCTTTGTATTGTGACCAGATATAACTTACTCTCATCTACGTTTTGTACCTATTCTTTTTAAGTTGGGTACAAATGTAGATATTTGAGCTAAAACAGGCCACAAATGACACATCAGCTGAAATAACACTGAATTTACTGTGTCCACTGGTAGACAAACTATGTAATAATCACACAGTTTATGAACATATTGTTACCATCCAGCCTCTAGCCTCTGGATGCAACAAGAAACCAGATCTAAATGGTTCAGGAAAAGCAATTTATGGCTCAGTAACGTAAATGAACATAACAGAATGGTGACAATACAAAAGAAGATGGTGAATGTTGCTACAAACCAAAGAACCAAACATAACCAAACGAAGGCTAGTAGACAAAGCTAAACTAAACTCTTTAGCCAAATGAATAGCAACATCCACACATTAAAAAAAAAACATAAAACAAACTAGTGCCTCAAAACACAGTATACGAACACACAGGACATGAGTAACTTCTTCACAAAGTTGGACAGCTGCTAACGGGAGTCATAGTCTTCACATGAAAACTCCCCCTGAGTTAGCAGCTGCCAACAGAAGTTACATTTCCGAGACACAGAAGACACCGATCAAGAGGCACCAAGACCGACTTCACATTAAACCCCAGCCAGCCCCAACTAAAAGGTTGCTGGTGGCTTTTATAGCCAGGTGTGGCGATTGCTGAGGTGGAGGAGGAGGGGTGGTGGTCCAATCAGGCGTGACCGGAGGCGAGGAGACCAAGGCTGAGAGTAGGTCGGCAGCTCCAGAGCAATCATCACTGATGTCTGGCAGGTGTGGTTCTGGAGCACCGTCTTCAGCTGGGCCTTCACAGGACGTCACTCTGTAGCCAGACTTTAAACCTAAGAGCAAGTTTTAGTGAAAATGTTTTCGATGCTCGTCAGCTGAATAATAAATACGTTTATTTTTGCCAGGATGTTTTATGATCAGAATGAAGTAACTTTGCATTTCACCGGTCACAAACCTTAGATTTTCTCATGTGTTACTGACACTTACATTGTAATGTCTCAGTTTACTCATAAATTAAAACCCAGAGCAATTAAATATTAGTGTTTCCATATTGTGTCCCCCTTTTTTAAGCAAATTAATGAAAGTTTAACATGTCATCAGAATGTGTTTTCCAGGGTTTCAGCTCAAAATACCAGAGATGTTTCACTTCATAGCGGCTGTATGACTTCTGGTTTGAGCTGCTGCTGCTGCTGCTGTCCACACCCTCTTCAGGAAGAAGACTCTCTCTGTATGTAGAGCAGCAAAAGCAGAACCTGGTGGACTATGAGGCAGCGACTTTTCCAGAAGGGCTCACTTTGCAAGCAGCAGGCAGTTAGGGGGCTCAGATTGATCCTTGCTTTTTCTAAAATGTGAAGCTCTCTGAAGTCCCCGCATATTTCTGCACCCACTGTTCTGCATCTTGACGCACACACGCTGCACAATGCCAAGCTGTAATACTGGAGTAATTCTGGCGTACATGTTTAAACCAGAACCCAATAATACACGTTGACAGGATTGTTACAGAAATGTTTGTCATTGGTCCACTGCCATTTCAAGGTAAAAACACTGAGCCATATGGTGCAAATAAAAAACACCATATGGACATTTTAGCAAGGTAAAAAACAACAACAACAACTTGTTTTCACCAGAGGAAGTCATTCATTCTCAGTAAAAACTACAAGCGTGTTTTCGCCAATAAATATTCGACCTCCTCTGCTGATTGCACGGTCTTATGTTAGGAACTCAGTGAACACGTGAATTAACTTCCTTAATTATTTACCTCTGTTGCAGGTGGGAGCCAGGTCAGTGTTGTCTTCAGGCCACGGACGTCATTCTCCAAGTGTCGGTGGTTTCCTGCCAGATTTAGAAGCACCGAAGGAATTTCCACACATAAGTGCAAAGTGTTAAAACGAGCAGGTGGTGGGTGAGAATCTGTTGCACGGTGTGTCTGAAAAAAACCTTTTAGATGCAAAAACTATTATCATACACAAGCCAAACACATGTGCTGAAGATCAACGGTGTAAGCAGTGTAAAAGTGAGGTTTAGCTTAATGACTGTCACCTTAATAGAGCAGAAAAGCCTCTACAGTCATTAAAAGTACAAAGCATACGTACATTTTTATCTACATTGGTTGGACATTGTTTTTTTTTTTATGACACAATAGCAGGAACTGTGAATAAACTTGAGAATTCACACGTCTACTCGACATCTTGTGTACACTCACCTGCTGTAAACGCCACATTTGGCTGAGAAGCAAACTCTGCTCTGCAAAAAATGACAATAATGGGAAAATACTGTGTTTCATTCAGGCTTAACAACCTGTTACATGTACATCCTGTCTTTGTACATTTTTTTATTGGCGGGACAAGTGGAAGTCTAATTCCATCGAGTCAAAAACAAAGTAACAAAGACATTTATATTTAGGAGCAGTATTATAGGTTGATAAAATATCTTCCACCAGGTTGGAAGTGTCTGAATACAGTGTGTATGCGTCACATTTCTTACAGTGCAGTACGTCTGTCACAGCAGGAAAAGTGCATGATGGAAATTTATTGTTATAATGTACCGGCAAGTCTCACTTTCCTTCCTCCCTTCCTTCCTCGGGCCTCCTATTTTCATTGTATCCATGGTGACAGATATTAAGCACAAATTCACACCTCACAACGAGCCGTTTCCTGATTGGCTTCCAAGCAAGGAGCTGTTCAATATGGTCCAGATTACAGGAAGTGGCTTAATGAAGCTAAGTGCTGTAGCCATGTGGAGGGGAACAGTACTGCAGCGATGGAGCAACGTTTTAGTTTTGCTCAAGAGACGAGAGAAACCTGTCTGACTTTGTGTGTTTTAGGCAAAAATGAGTCGTTCTGATGCTGCGATTTTATAATCAGGTCTGAAAAAATGCTGCAAGTCGATGAAAAAAGGAACTTCAAATTGTAGATATCTTGTAAATAAAAAAAATATGTGCTCAACTTTCTCCTATGACAATAATCTTTTAGTTTCATGGTTTGGACCAAACTTTTCACCCACACTGAGAATCAATGAGCTTCTGAGCAGCAGGTTTGCCTCAATGGAAACCTTAAAAAGTCCCCTTTACAACATACACTGAACAAAAATATAAACGCAACACTGTTGTTTTTGCTCACATTTTTCAAGAGCTGAACTCAAACATGTAAGACTTTTTCTATGTCCACAAAAGGCCTATTTCTCTCAAATATTGTTCGCAAATGTGTCTAAATCTGTGTTAGTGAGCACTTCTCCTTTGCCGAGATAATCCATCCATCCGGTGTGGCATATCAAGATGCTGGTTGGACAGCATGATTCTTGCACAGGTGTGCCTTAGGTTGGCCTTGAGTTTATATTTTTGTTCAGTGTAAAATAGCCTGAATTTGAGAACCAAAAACAAATAAATAATGTTGTTTATGACATTTGTATGTACAAATGTAAGAAAAAAAAAGTCATTACTGACAATGTCTTACCGTCTTGTCAGCTGAATGTCTCATTTCCAACCTGAAAAAACCAACTGGTCAAATAAAACATTACTATAAGTCAAAACTTGGCAGGGGTATGAATACTTTTGGGCTCAACAGTTGCTGGCTACAGGCATGAATGTAGCTCAGATGTAAAATGAAAGTGGTCAGTTCCAATAGAAATCCCTCAGTGATGGTGTTGTAATTGTAACAGGTGAACATGCAGACCTCAGACAGTCTAAAAACACATCACAGCAACATAGAATACCACAAAAATATTACAACACAATCTCATGAAATACTGTCTGTCCTGCTACGACCTCAGCAGTCTGTTAGAGTCATTGGCTGTGTTTGTGCATCTACCGTTTTCTGAAGTTGCTCCACGTTGACCTGCATGTTGACATGAAAACACAACAAGCAGCAGAGAAAACTCCAGTCACTTCCCATTCATTTAAACAACTTTTATTTATTAAGTTTTTACAAATAAAGTAACAAATTTCATTGTATTGTAGCGCAAAGCGCAAAGTTTTGTTTTTAATATGAAGCTTGAACACTCTATACTTAGTGCAAAACATACCGTTAAAGGCTGCCGATGACTCCCTACATGTATTTTTTGTTTTTCTTTCATTCATTCATCCATTGTTTTGTTTTTTTTATTCATATTTAAATCCAACCACTTTTGTACAATGTCAACCACGATACAGAAAAAGGAAACCACTGAATTAAATTAGGTGCTGTTAGAAACATTAAAACGGCACATAAAACAAGTGAGAGTTAAAAATAAAAGGTGAGAGCATCAGACGGACCGGAAGCAAAAAAAAAAAGGTTTCAGTAACAGTCTGAGAAACTGTTGCCGCACTACAGACATCATTTCACAGGAGCAAGCGACGTAAATCAGCGAGAGATGCAGTGAATCTGAATGTTTGTTGGTGCACTGAAAGGCTTTTAAAAAAAATTCTCTCCATGTGGGCACTTCAACAGTAAGAAGCATAAAGGGTCAGCGAGTCCTGAACAGGCAAAACACTGGAGAACAGAAACTACAGATAGAATGAAAGTGAGTTAAATGCTACAACCGTGTGTGTGTGTGTGTGTCACCAGAAACTGAATCCTACTTTAACTTCACCTCGTTGTACTGGGAAACCCTTTCACAGCCATTCCTCCACTAAAGCTCTTCACAATAACAGAACCCAAACCTCACTGTAACCTCAGAGCTCCATAGCATACCGTCACTTTGTTAATATTGCATTGCAAGCGATTGCACAGTAGGTATTCTTTTCTCTGTACTTATGTAGTATAGACACAGCAAAATATCATCAAGCTTCAAATGTGGAGATCTTTTGAGGCTTGGTGCAAAGTGAAAATCCCAAAAGCAGGTAAATACGCTGTTTTCTTTCCGATGTTTCCACTTCACCGATGAACTTAAAGGTCACATGGCACTGAGTCGGCGGCATCATCATCATTAAAGACAGAACGCTAAAGCAAAGTGGCTCAATGATTATTCACAGCTTCAACCAAACTTGCCTAGTAGTTAAAATGTTGCATTATCGTCTGTGAGAAATGAAGAAATATCACAAAGAAACTGGCAAAAGCAAATTATTTTTATACAAACTTTACAAAGTAACATTTTTTTTTAGATAAATTCAGAAACATCCATTCAACGCAAAAAAATACGCTTTTTGAGTGAAGTTTGTACCAGATGGGTTTCATTTGCGCCGACAAATGAAAAGAAGAAAAAGGGCGTCAAAGGCCTTGGATCCATTATCACAATCAGCTCCATCGTTTTAACCGCCGGCTGAATCATCGTAGCCACCGGCGACGCTGCGATGCCCTCACATTCAAATGTTTGTTAAAGCTTCGATTTTTGGTCTACAAAGTCGTTTCTATGAATCAATTCTGTTCAACCTCCAAGTGTGCAGCTACGAGTCCATCTTTTCCAGTGGGATGATAATATAATGGGCTGCTAGAAAGGTTTGCCTCAACGTTTTTATGCTGCTCTTGACACTTTGAACAATTTTCCACCAGTTTTTAATTTTTTCACTACGAATGGTGGGTTATTAAATAAAAACACAATTTTAAGCCAGTTTTGCTCATTCTACTAGACAGGTGTCCATATTTGCTTTCTTACTGGTTTGTCACACACAGTATTTATGTGCACCATTAAAGATTTGGTAACTTTAAATCTGAATCTGTTGTCAAAGCGCTCCCCAGCAGTCACGATAGAGCAGCTTAGCTGGATTTATGAGCGTTACATTTTTTAAACACTGACTGCTGGTTATTTAGTCATCCTTCTGTTTACTGAATGACAATACTGTTGTGCGCAAAACCAGGCAAAGAAACTCCAGAGGCCACAGCACTGAGGCTATTTCACAACCCAGCACTGTGATTCTCCTTAAACCCACTTCAGCTGACACCAGATTTCTGCGAGCTATGGGAGAGGTCTTAGGGAATAAGAAGTTCTGATATTGATATCTATTCTTCCTAAACATACATCGAGTATGTTGGAGATGTACTGAAAAAGGAAAATGATGGAGTCATTATTTATTAACTCTCAGCAATGACTTTCAAAAACTAGTTAGCAACTTACCAAGAGGACAGGGCTCGACTCGGCACCGCCAACTGCTCTGCTACATGTGCTGCAGACCGTGCTGAGAATTGAAAACAATGGAGCTGCTCTACTGGACAAACTATGACAACAATTCAGAATTATCCCAAGGAGCGTTTTCTGTATTATGTTCTGTAAAAGAAAGTGTATTGGACAATATTGATGCTAATTTATCAGCGACAGGCCGATATTGCATCAATAAACTGGATGGGCTCGACTTTTGATTTTAGCTAATCTCACAGGAAAATCTTATAAAATCTGTATTCCACTAAAAAATAATGTTATCCCACTGCACCATCCTGTCCTGACTGTATGCTGCACCCAGGTCGGCGCCTCTTAAGTACAGAGTGGTCCAAGCTTCAGATACAATCGTCAATAACTCCCTCCTTAAAACTGAGAAAATACAGCAATAGAAACAACACTGATGTCAAACGGTAGCCTTTTCCAATCTTCAGAGGTCAATCCTTTCGGCTCGAAGGGTCAATTCATCTTCCTATCAGCCCAGTTGGGTTATTTTTCACGGTCAATTTGGGAGTGAGTTCAAGTTTTTTTTTTTTTTTTTGCATTTTGCGGAAAACACACTCAAGAGAATTAACCACAAACCAGCCTCAGCACACACATGCCGTTATTACAATCTAACTCCAAAGTGACACCTCGATATGCCGCACACGTCCTGTTAAATGTGCTTACTTTTAAACCCAAGTCCTCGACCCCCCGAACAGAGAAGCAACAGGAAGGATGCAAGGCACTAGTAAATACCTCCAGCGTTCAGCGGAGGCTCTAAGGGCGGCGGAGGGGTCAGGAGAAGCGAAGACAGGCGGAAAATAAAAAGACAAAAGAGTTTTTTTGTTTTTCAAGTACATTAAAATGGACACCATTGGTTTATACATTCACATTCATCTAACAAAACCGGGGGGAGAAAGGGAAGAGGAGGGCTATTTAAAGTGTCTGATATATAAGTACTGTATTAAGAAAAAAATAGCTAGCTTTACTTTATTATCTAAATATCAACTATCCTGCCGTTCACTCCGGTTTTTGTCTTTACACTCAGGCTTGGAGGTCGGTTTCGACTTTCAATTCAATCGGTTCCGAAGGTGAACTGAAACTGTGGTTGATTAGTTGTAGGTAAGGCATCGGTTCTGAAGTGTGTCCTCGCTAAATGGATGGAAGGACGCTTATTGAAAAAGAGGGGTGTTGGATTTTTCACATATTGATGCAAAAAAAAAAAAAAAAAAAAAGACTGAATTGAAAGCGAAAGGACCCCAAACTGTTCTCTGTACGCTTTTTGTGTTTTTAATTTTTTTTTTTTTGTTTTTAAATTCGTGACATTTCACCCTAAAACTAATGTCGTCCAACAACATTTGCTAAGAACAAACAACAAGAATCACAGTGTCTCCACATCGTGCGCCGATGTGCACGTAGAACAGGTCCATTTGACAGAACACGTTTTTGTTTTTGTTTCTTTTTAAATAGAATAATAATCATTAACAACAATAATTATGATAATAATGTACATTGCAATCATTTCAACCCAAACGTTGAAATCCAACCTAGTCATGACACTAAGAAAAACTGAGGCATAGTCTATGAGTCTAAGACGGTTAAACAGCTGCTACGCCTCCGACGCCGTGTGAGTGTATTTACATGATCCGTGTGTGTCTGCAGGTATGTGCATTGTGCGAGTGTGTGTGTGTATGTGTGTGTGTGTCAGATTGCTAGCTGGGGGCAGCAGCAAGCAAAAAAAACAAAAAAACAACAAAACCAAAATGAGCAACAAAATGGAATCATCATAGCTGACATTCTAAAAAATAAACAGACACAAACTGTACAAGGACTCTGATATTATTCTGATAACAAGGCCACTTTTGCACGCTGAGTTCTCTCGTGTTCGGGCGTTTTTTTTTTTTTGTTGTTCTTTTTTTTTCCTTCTCTCCTCTAAAAGGTTTCTGCTGTTATTGCTTCAAATGGCAACAGAGAGGTGAAGAGAGGGACGGAGGAAGAGGTGGAGTCGTGATTCGCGAGGAGGCGTCGGGAGCATCAGTCACGTTCCTGAAGCGAGCGGCGCAACAGGAAACAGATGAGGCGTTTGACTGTTATTTAATACAAACACTCCTCTTCGACCGCTTCCCTTCCTCCGTCTCTCTCTGTCTGTTTGAATAGTTTGTCAGATCGAGGGGAAAAACAAGACACAGAAGGTAACAGAGGAGAAGCTGTCAAGTCACAACCCCACAGAGCGCTGGGCTACACCTGTTCTCAGTATGCAACTGTTGGATTTGTTCTTTGTGCTTTTAATGGAAACCATCCTACGATGAGCTAAATAATAAACCCTCGTCTTTTCTGCCTTTACCTGATAACAAAGCTTTTATGTGCGTCTTTCCTTGTATCCACTGCCTGTGTTTGATTACACCGAAGCAAGGCCACGCTCGTCCACCAGCTTCCTCCTTAAATTTAGTGGAAACGCCGCATTGTTGCATGTTTCTGTCGTCTTTGAGAGCCTTTTCAAGTCGATCTAAGACTACAGCATGTTGTTGTGATAAGCAAAGAAAGCTGCTGTGCTGCAAAGACTGGATGCACACAGATAGCAGAGGCAACAACCAGCTCTTCCCACTAAAATCTGTACCAATAAGAAGTTATTAAGAGGAGCTGCGTGGACAGAAGGGCAAAGGTTTGTAAAAGCTGGCCACCACACTCCTCCTCCTCCTCCTCCTCCTCAGCCCTGATGTAATGTCTTCCCACCACCATCGAGCTAATAACTGCTGCCCCGTCATGCACGCGCTCAGCTAGAGCATGAAATGGAACAAGTGTGACCCAGCCGTAAGTGCCCATAAACAACATCTCACACGCAAACAGTCGCTGACAACAATCCTGCAACCCTGTCAGAACCTCTTTGGCCGTTTAACATTGCACTGATGAGTCTTTTCCTTTATCCTTGATCATTTGGCGAGCTGTCACGAGCCCACAGCGGAGAGGGAGGTCGTGTGTCTGTGACAGCTTCCCACACAGTGATGGAAGCAGAGCTGAGATTGCATTTCCTGATTTCTTCTCGCCTCTTGAACAGCCACCAACATTTCAAACTCTCCTTCAGTTCTTCTGCTCTCTCCAGTCGATCCACTCTCCGCTCAGCACCAGTCCAGTCGGGCCGCGTTTCACGCCAACCCTCACTCCAAACCCTACGTGGTCCTCAAGTTGGGTCCTCCTGGGTTGCTGACGGACTTCTGCAGAGTGTTGGTCAGATGGAAAGCCTGCAGCGGCCCCTGCCCGGGAATCTGGCCCTGTGGAGTGGGGTAGGGGCCCAGGGGCTGGGAGGTGCTGACCAGCAGAGGCTGCGTCGGTGCCTGGTGTGGCGTCGACAGGCTGTGAGCCGGACCGGACCATTGTGCGCTATAGGCAGAGGTGGGGGTGTAGTGGATGAACTGGGGGGGTTGGGATGGAGTGGAGGAGGCAGGAGGGTGGCATAAGGAGCCCTTGCGGGCGGCCAGAGAGGTAGCGGTGGTGGGGTTTGTGGGGAGGTGGGCTGAACCACCTATGCTGCTGGGACAGAGCTGACTGGGAGCTGAGTACTTCCTGCCCAGACTGGCTGACTGGATCACCTGCAGGAGGGAAGAGAGAATATGTTTCATTCATGTGAACACAAGCATAGATTCTAATGTGATATTTGTTTCCTCCTAATGTCTGAGGAGATAAAAACAAGATTTTAAAAATGCGATCTACATTCTGAAACCATTCATCACTGAGGAAAGCAAACTAATACCTTAATGTGTTTATCCAAATTCGTCTGATACACACAAGATGACATTTCTGAACAAACGTTCTTGGCAAAGCTGGACTAGCTGGACCTAACCAGAGAAGCAGACACTAACCCCAGAGTCCCAGACATGCAAAGTCCCGGGTTTGCCTCATGTCAGCAGGTTCCAGTTTTTAAATAATTGGCAAGTTTGTTCAGGATCTTATACTTCCAACGAACAACATCAAATGAACAGCTTAACCTGTAGGCCTGTCTACAGGAGGGGATCTTCTTCAAAAGCTAATTTTAAGATCTTTATTCTTTAAATGTGTGTTGTTCTCACATGGCACACGATCTCAAATAAAGCTGCGTTTAATCAAACTACTAAAAAACTATTTTTGACACAGAACAATGGAGCCATTTGATATTATTACAGAAGCAACAGGTGGTCCAGAAATGATGTGACGTGTTTCTGTGCTAACCTCGTAGCTGTGTCCCTGCGTCGGGGCCTGCTGCAGCTGTTTGGCACTCCTTTTACCCTAAAAAAGAACACAATCATTCATTACAACACATTTTTGAAATGCTAATAAAGACCAAACTGTAGCTCTGGGTTACGTCTGACAGTTAGCACTCTGATGACTTTGACTTTAAAGGTAGAAATGTAAACATTTTTTGATAAAAATTCAAGTACTATACAGCTGAACTGCAGGCTGTGTTGACACAAAACAGACAGGAGCCAAATATGGAAACAAATTAAATGTAAGAAATAAAATATGAATGTAATTTGAAGAATCATATTTTTTTCACAGCATTGGTAACACCTGCTGACAAACGCCCTTTTGTTATGACTTATGGCATTATAACTGTTTCATAGTGCACAGAAAACATTTCTGAGTTCTCCACACTTGTAGCCACGGTTGCGTTGTCTCTGTAGAGGTGCTGGACTTCATACTGCAGTGAAAAATGAGCCCACAGTGAGTAAAAATGTGACAGGAGTGAAAAAATGCCCAGACTCTGCTTGGGTTTCAGAAAGTTAAACAAAAGTGAGAGATGTTTACCAGTTAACAGACTAACTTGATGACTCAACTTAGGATCAAAAACCTCAGTGGCAGATCTCTACTGCTGTACTGCCAGACATTAAAAAAAAAAAAAATCAGCTGTGGTCAACATCAGCTAATGTTCTGCTTGTTGTAGAACAAAAAATGCAGAAAAACTGATTTTGGAGTTTGGGAAAATCTAAACACTCGATGTGCCAAATGGACACAGAACCTAATAGATGTTTTGAAAGCAACCAAATGCCAGAAGGCCCTCAGCTGAGGTCTGTTTATCCCACCATCCACTTTTGCTTTCAACACATTAGGTTTGAGATTCTTTCCTCTAGCTGTCTTCATAAACGAATTACAGGGAGCCGGTGAGTCATTGTTGAAAGAGCCTGTTCTGTGTCATAACAGCTTTGGTGAGATGAATCATAAAACAGCAGCGAAACCTGTGAGAGGTTCATGGCGTCTCGGGCCCAGTTGTCCACCAGCTTGTGAAGGTCGTCGGTGAAGGTTCCTTTCCTCTGGTGGGGGGCCGACATGCTGGTCGGCAGGCACTGAGAGCCCCCTTGGCTCTGACCCAAACCGCCTGAACCGCTCACTGCGTTGGTGCTGTTAGTCCCTGTGAGGCAGCAGAGACAGAAGAAGGAGGGAGGAAGAAGAGCAAGAGATGTGAGATATTGTTCCAACGCTGACATGGAGGTGATGTTATCTGAATGAATGTGAATGCAGACCCTTGAAAAGGGTCAGAGTTTTAGGGCAGGTCAGCATGTTATGGTCACAGAATTGCACAGTTTAGTTCTGATGATGGAAATAATGAGGTAAAATTATGACACAAGAGCATCGTTGCAAAGTAAATGCTGAACCTGCTGGTGTTGCTCATATGATAATATGGATATCAGTGGGTAATCTGTAAAGCAGCATTCTCCTTCAAAACACTCCCACATGACAGAAGCCAGCTCAGTGAGTCCTGCAGTAATTCACTTCTTGACCTCTAGGTGGCACTAAAGCTCTGCATCAGCAGCTAGTATGCTTTTTTCACAGCATCACACTTATCCATGGCAGAAAAAAAAATAAAATCACACACTGCAAACTGGCCAGGCTTCCTGCGTGAATATAGAGGGATGTATAGGGACTGTTAAAGGCTAAACACATGTTATATATCATATGATACCTTCACTTTGTTCCATGAATGCAGTTTTTCATCTTAGTGCCTTAGAATATTACCTCAGCTGTTTGCTTTGGGACACTAAAAACTCTCTGCTGGTTCAGATTTTGTCTAAAAACATAATACTTAAATGATCTAGAATTACAGGCTTTGCTGCAATAAACTAGCCCCTTAGAATATATGAGACTTAAAAATATAGATTTATCAAACAATTTAGCCCAGAGACAGAGGAAGTACATGGATTAATAGTTAATCATTTATATTTGTATTTAATTTGTTGTAACTTGTTTTCTTACATTTTTTTTAACTACTCTTGATGCACAGTACCTCAAATCCACATAATAAATACATGAAGCTCCCTCTGGAGAGACAATGAACCCACAACCATACCGGCAAAATGAGCTCATGTAGGAATATTTACATGATTTGTTTACATCAGACAGTATATGAGAAGAGACATAATATGCAGGGACTATCCAGAAAAAAAAAAAGGAAGTCAGACAGTTGGTCTGACAAAAAAACTGTCATGTCATGCTAAACAAAATGGAGGAAAATAAGAATGAGGAGACGCTGAGTCATGACTGACTGCAGCAGCATGGAATTCTGGTCAATGTAGTCTAGACCACAAGCCGTGATGAGGGAGGAGAGGAAAAAGGGGGAGGGAGGTGGAGGGCAAAGTGGCAAACAGCTGTTCAGGTGAGTTAGTGAGTGTTTGGCGTGTGTTTGTGTGGGAGAGCTTGCAGGTGCATGCTGGTCATTTCAGTCATTTCAGCCCTCAAACAGCTTCACCCAAAAAAATTGAAACTACAAAGTTCATCTTCAGCAGCTGAAATAACTGAACTGATCTAAAATCTGCCAGGACTTCTACAGGGTGTCAGGGAGGGAAGGAAGCGTTGGAGAGCGGGTGCAAGGATGGAGGAGGAGGATGGAGGGAGGAAAGACCAAAAAGAGAGATAGTTACTACAGAGCTGGTTGCAGGGGCAGACTTTTTTCACCATCTTCCCTGTGCGGCCGGAAGACAACAATTGGAGGATTGGGAGAGAGTCAGAGTTAGACCCCGCCCACAACACCCGACAACCACAACACAATGCATCTGAGTAGGATTATTTCAACTTGGAGGAGTCGATAAGCAAGACTTTAGGGGTTGAGCTGCCCAATAACATCTTAAAACAGTGCAAAGTGACCCCCGAATGAAAACCAAACTGCGCTATGAGGGCTAACGCCAAGTCGAGCTTTCCATCTTTAGCCAAATAAACAGAAAAGATGTTTTTTTTTGACAAAGCCAAGTTACATTAGCAACCTTTTGAGACAGTGCAGACGCTGAATTGAAGCCCGCTCGGCTGACAGTTAGCGGAGGAGAAACAGACCAACTACAAGCTCTAAACGCCGCTTTGCTTTCAGCAACAATGTGACGCCACCGAACCCGTCTTGCCTGTGCACTGTGGCTTTAAGATGCTTTTGGGGGTAGCCAACACGTGGTTCTGAGTCCTCTCTACAGCTCACAGGTGCCAGAACTGGGTCCGACATGACAAATAATTAAAAGCGACCTCTAAACTGCTGCCCACATCTCAGATTTGATTCAAACCGAATGAATGGCTTTTTCATTTGATTTTCCTCCTAAGCTACCTGTTAAAGAACAAGGAGAAGGTTAAGACCACTAAGACCCAGGTCTGTCTCTCTCCCCTCCTGGTGGTGCAGTGGCAGGGTGGGGGGGAGACAGGTGGGGGAGAGAGGAGGTGAGGACAAAGAGTGAGGAAGGGGGAAAATAGGAGGGGAGAGAAGGGGTTTGAGCTGCAGAGGGTTCATAAACATCTCTTCATCAAGCACAAAACATTTCAACACTTCCTCAAGTATGGGTAAATTATAAACAAACAGAACCGTAATTGCCTAATCAATTAATAAAGTTTAATTAAAAAAAACAATACATTTCCTATTAAAAACCAAACTGTATGACAGAAAGCTCAAGTCATCGGGTCGCAACTTGTCCTTCCTTGTTAGTCTGCTTTATTTCACACAGACAAAGGTTAAAACCAGAAGCAGTCGGGATTTTAAATGCAGACGGACAAAACTGTATCATCTGTGTCTAACGTATGAGATGATATGTAGCGTATGGAGCAAATCTCTGATGACAGAGTCTGCCAACATGATCGTTAACAGTGACGAGGGATTAGTTAAATGGCTCTAATGTAAATGTACAGCTGCTGTGACGATTTTCCCCACCATTCCTCAGCTTTCCTAAAGACTTAACTTGCTCATGCTGTCATTTTCATTTGTGCTGCACTAATGGATTGGAAATAAATTTGTAATCCTTTTGATTTTCATAAAATAGGACAATGATCATTTCCTGTGTTTTGTTTATGTTGCCGGCTTTGTTTTAAATACAGCGGGGCGTGATGGAATTTTTGGACGCAGTAACTGGAAAGAGCAGCGACAGTGAGGTGTTAGATGAAGAGCTGCAGGGGACGAGCTGCACAACTCCGAGTCCTCGGCAAGATAATCAAGCTCGCTGCGCCCCGCTGGCATGTGAAAAGCTGCACTTGGCACAAGTAGCAGCGTAAAATCAGATTGCGGTTGCTCATGGCATTACGGAGAAGAAAAAAAAAGGATTTTTACAACAAAAGCATGAGTTTGTTTGGTTGCACTGTGATCTGAGAAAGCAGCTGCTTTGTAAAGTATTAAACTGCACTTGCTGTTACTACTACTAACCGTGTGTGTTGTCGAATAAACTAGAACTGAAACAAGGATTAGAAGTAAGACAAGATAAGAGGCCCTGTCACTGTTGCTGCTTGTTGATACACTGGATTTTTATGTCAAAACCACAGCTGCTGCGTTGTGATAAGGCACATGTAGAGTTGTAACAATACCCAGATGATGACTTTGATAACTGACACTGAAACAACAGCACAGCAGAAACCTAAAATATCAGGATAAGTAATAGAATAATACATAATATAACCTTTTTCCCTTTAATTTAAAAAGAAAAACAGAAAAATCTGAAAATAGGAGTTAAAATGAGCTCCGCAGCGTGTTTTCATATCCAACCAGAAGTGGAGGAGCACTTCATGAAAGTTTGCGTCTCTCCACCTTCACACATCACACTGCAGCTGACAAAAACTCTTCCAAGACAAGTGCAGCCAAGTGCAGCAGCACTTTTATCACCCAATGTCACTTATTCTGAGGGAATTCAGTTGATCATTGGTATTGCTGATCTGCACACTTGTAAGCATCTGATTTTAGCAGCTTCTGCTAGAAATATTGCCCTCATTGGTAAGTTAGCTAAAAAGACGAAGCCAAATTAAACAGCTATTGTCGCCTTTAATTGCCTCATGAAACTGCAGTGGTACAAATGGTTTGTTTTCCCCACATGAATCACACTTCTTTGACTTGTGTTTAAGGGCATGTTGTAATTAAGTTATCTGTTACATTAACTGATCTGCTGCTCTGTCAGTCCTGTGAACAATTCAGCACGTCTGCTGGTGATGTGCTGTGTTGGATGTGTTGGTTTTAAATTAAAACATATTTTACAGACAGGCTATATGGTATTTGTTAGCTGGAAGGGAAATAATGCATATAGAGGCAACTCACAGGAAATGCAGCCTCTATTAAATTACCAGTACTAATTAGATGAGGAACAGTATAATTATAGTATTATTATTATTATATAATAACACAAGGGTATGGCAATATTTTTCTAAGTACATGTCCTTATCACAAAAAGCTAAGCGGTTATGACATAAATGGCTCTAACAGAGCTTTCTATTCAGAGCCTTTTACAGTGTACCTTCAGACAGCAAAGAATTTTCTGTGTCCTTCCTATGATTAAACGGTGATTAGATTATTGTCTGCAGCCAGAAATACACAAGGTCAGCAGTGAATGTGATGTTTAGAGATGACTTGGAAGACTATGTTGAAAGAAAGAAAGAAAGAAAGAAAGAAAGAAAGAAAGAAAGAAAGAAAGAAAGAAAGAAAGCAGCAAAGATTAAAGTGAGGATGCATGAACTATCACTATCATTGTTTTAACATTTTGTGTCCTGCAGCTCTTATCTCTGATTTTCCACTTCTTCTGTAGCTACAAACTTCTCTCTTCTGTTCTTGTGTAGCTTTCTAAACATACACAATAAGGATGTACGTAAATAAATAAGCAGACCGCATATTTAAGGCCTTGATTAAGGATAAAAATGTGGTTTGGCTCGTCATTTTAAGCAAAGTACTGAAATACTTGTGTGTATAAATAGGAGCGAGCACGCTCAGCTGATAAGAAATATAAGTATATACATATAAATATAATAGAAATAAATGCTTTTCTGCTAATTCGTAAAAGGTTAACTTTCTTTTTTGTGTCTCGATTCATCAGATTTCTGCAGGACACTGGTGATATCTCAAGCAGAGGGTCTTCCTCCATCAAAGAAGAAAAACCCACAGGAAGACAGGATGACCGTGACTTGACGGATATAGGAGTAAAACAAATAGAACCCAAAGTAAGTAAGGGTAAAGGAGAAGAGCAAAGAAATAAAGCGTTACACACAAAGAGCCAAGCAGGGCGTACTCAGAAAGCGCGTCCTCCTGCCGCCAGGCTTGAAGGCCAAACGCTCCGAACCCCAGCTGAACTTTACACAGCCTGAAGAGAGGGAGGAGAAGATGAGGGAACAGGGAAGGAGAGTGAAGAGGAGAGAGGTGAGGAGCATGAAAGGAAAGAAGATGAGACAAAGAGGAACGAAGGGACAAGACGTGACAGGAGGAAGACAGAAGAGGAGCAGATGAGAGGGGAGAAAAGAGACACAATTGAAGAATCCACAGAAAAGAGTGAGTTAGCCATCACAGTGTTCAATAGAGAGAGAAGGACCAAGAAAGATGTGAGGAGAGTGACAAGAAGTGCATGCATGTGTCTTCATGTGGATCATACAGTGACCTGTTCTGTGCTTAAGTCATGGGGATGTGATGCTGCAGCCTCTCGGTGCCTACCTGGGGTGGGAGCGCACAGGCTGGGCACGGAGAGCGCCGCCTCGCTGGTGTACGCCGAACACAGGTTGTCGCTGGAGGGAGAGGGTTTGAGAGGCTGGAGCAGGGTGCTGCTGGCTGAGTCGGCTAGTCCTCCCGGGGCCAGCAGAGCCAGCTGGCCGGGGTACATAGTCGGGACGCTCTGGGCGGATAAAGTGCTGCCTGGAGATAGCACACAAGGCATGGGCAGGAGAGGACAGGGCGGGAACAAACGCAGAAAGCACACACACATACACACAAACACAAACACACGCGTAAGGATGATGGACAGATAAAGAGACCCGTCGATGCCCCCCAGACATTTACAACAGACACCCCGAGACACACAGAGAAAGAAACAGATGGGGGAAAGCTGTCAGAAATTTTCCAGCTCCGAGCCTGATTCAGCGTTCACCCACAAGCAGATAAACAAACACACACACATACATATATGTGCACACAGATGCATAAACACAGAGAGGGTGTGACGTTAGACTAAATGTTGTGGATCAGTCAGGCTGTAGTGGACTGAGGGATCATGATTAAGGTGAGCATTGTTGTTGAGAGTTTCTGTTTATGCAGGATTAAAGAGTCAGTTCAACCAAATTACAGAAAAAAACTTTTGTCTCTCTCTGTTGGTTTCTTTTAAAGTTTTGGTTTAGTTTGTGTAGGTATTAGGGAGGTGACTGGAATTAAATTTGTGATCATTTTTTGTTAAATTGCATCTTTGCAGTAGCAGGTTGTCGTCCAATTGTTCACAATAAGGTACTGGTTAAATTGATTTGATGGTACAATATGAAAACTGAACGAATCATCAGGTCTGCTCCTGAGTAACCAGGATACTGTTGTCAGTTTTAGTGCCATGAATCCCGCCCAAAAATGAACTCCAGTCACCTCTGATGTATTTTATCAGAAGGAATCTTAAAGTAGCCGCATGACTTGATACTACTAAGCCAACCGAGAAAGCATGTTTTTTTTTTTGGTAAAATTTTGATGAACTGAGCCTTTAATATAAATGTTTAAAGGCGATCCTACCTGGCTGTAACGGACTCTTGCTGCCGTGCGTGGAGCTGGTTCTGGACGATTTGGATGACTTGCTTTTGGCCGGTCGTCTCCTCCTACCAGTCAAGGCTATAACTGGAGGGATCACTGCAGCTGGAGGAACCTGAAGCAACACCCGACGAAGAAGAAGAAGAGGTGTTTCACACTGTATGCTGCTTGTATTGTAATATAATGTATAATGTAACTCAGATGAGTTACCTTTCCCAGCCTGGTGAACAGACTGTCTATTTCCTCCTTCTGGCGGGAATGGAGGGCCTGAATTTCACGCATGTGCCTGGTGGTGGAGAGGGGAGATAAAATATTTAAGGAATAAAGTAGTGACAGGCAAAAGAAATAAATAAATAACAAGAAGTGAGCGAGAGAGGAGGAGGAGGAGGAGGAGGAGGAGGAGGGCCTAGTTTCCTAGGAAGCACTGAACATCTTATTTCAAGAAAAGATGAAAGAGAAATAAAAGTAATGAAGCAAAGTGGGTGGTTAACCTCATTCTTGAGGGGAAAATGAGGAGAGGTAAAAAAAAGAGTAGCAGTAAGAGACTAAAGAAGGCAGCAAAATCTAGCTCTTGAAAGCAGCTATTGAAGAAGAGGAAGATGGACGGAGGAACGAAGAAGCTGCCGAGAGGAAAACTGAATCGTCTTTTCTGTGACTTTTTTAAGAAGAGGGGATAATTTACTTTTCTCTGAGGCGGTTGACTTCCCGTTTGAAGTCTTCATCCTCAAACTCCGAGTCGTTGTCGCTGCTCATGTAGCAGTTATTGAAGGAGTTGTTGTTCAGGCTGGGCAGGGAGGCTTTGTGGGTGGAGTCTGGTGTCAAAACGTGGCCGGGATCGCTGGGTCCGTTGGCAGCAGGTGGGGGTGGACTCTGCCTGGGCTCGAGGCTCTGCTCCTGGGCTCGACTGACCGAGAACCGACCGACGCGGGCCTCGGCGTTGGTGGTGACCTGAAACGAACGAGCGAATACTGGATGAAATAATCAATAAATGCAAGGTGGGATGAAAGAAGACGGCAAGAAGAGGGAAGGAAAAATAGAGGAAAAAGGCAAAGAAGAGAGATGAAACGAAGAAGTTAGAAACAAGAAGTACCTGGAAGCGTCCGATGGTAGTGGTGGGCTTCGGGGAGGGACAAGGGGAGGTGAAAGGCGAGGGCTGGTGGGATCCTCCAGGAGTCCTTTGAGGGGGTCCATCCACAACGTCTCCTCTTTGTCCTCCTCCCCCTCTCAGAGGAGACGAGGAGTCTTTGTGCAATGTGTTCTCCGGGCTGGAGAGACTGGAGGATGACGAGGAGGAAGACGAGGTGGAGGAGGTGGTGGAGGAAGATTCAGTGCAGGCCGGGCGCTGGACAGCAGGTTCCTCAGTAGCCAGAGAGACCTGAGCAGGCAAAAAAAAGACACAGCTCTCCTTTACTGTACATCCAGGTCTAGTCCACAAATGTCATATATACCTTGTAGTTTTAGAAGCAAAAATAAGATGTGAAAATTACACTTTTATAGGCTGGGATCTAGTGTTCATTTATGGAGATTTTACCTGGAATCTTCCCAATTTAATACCATGTGCAGGAGGAGGAGCTTTAGAGGACATAGCTTCTTCCTCCAGTGAGAAGGGAACTGGAGGGCGGATGATATATACATTTTAGACAAAAGACACTGATTCATACAGTAGTCAAAGAGATTTAGTAAGTCTAATGCACATACTTGTTTGTCCTGCTGAAGGCACGCTGCCATGACAGGCCTGTGGTTAACATAAAGAGAACAGAATATTGGTTGAAATTGAGCAGTCTTGTTGAATGAATACACTCTATTAATCTGACACTGAACTATCAACATGTGTTTACCTGTGTGTGTAAACTCACAGGAACAGTCTCTGGACTCAGGGCTCTCCTCAGCTGAGCATCCAGGTCCTCCAGAGGCTGCTGGGACTGAACATATTGACAGATGTATTGTTATACACACGCAAACAAAAATGAACAAGAACACACACAAGCTTGGACCAAAATAGATTCGCAGCATAAGCACAGATCAGCCACAAAGCGCACATGTACTCCTAGAGGAAAGATCCCTAAGCCCCCCCAGTTTTAGCCTCTCCGCTGGTTATCAGTCAGTTTTAGGACGGATTTTAAGGGTTCTTGCAAAGCGCTCCATGATTTAGCTCCGTGTTAGATTGATGAAAAGCTGCTCTGCTGTGAGCCGGAGAGCAACCTCAGATCTTCACTGACTTAAAGATCTGTAGAGCTTTTGCTGCTGGGTACTTCAGCTTTGCAACTCCATCCCAGAAGAAGCGAGGCTGGCAGAATAAGGAAGATCTCTTGAATCTTTACTTAAACCTGCAGTGCAGAACTTTAGTCTCTAAGTTCTGACAGCAAGCTATTACACAAACACTGTCGATGTATTCTGGTGACATCGCTTTTTAAATTTTTTTTATTTTAGTCTGTAATCATTCCTCAGAACAACAAGATTCTTTTTATTCTGGAGCATCAGAGGATTTTCTTGAATACTTCTAAGCTGTTTTATTTTATCATACCCCTACTTGTTGTATCCTACTCTGCCTCCATCACTGAGGTCGCTCCTTTATTAAGCCTTAGAAACTCAATCATTAGTGATTAAAGCATCACTACCGCTGCACCAGTGCCAAAATGTTGCAACAGAAACCCGATTCCACAGTCCAGAATACTCTCTTACATGTAAAAGTCTCACAATTTGGCTTTGAAAATGTTTTAAAAGCCTTTCATTCAAGTCAGAGCTTCTGCAACACTTGTCGTGTTTGTGTGATTATTTTCTTTTTTTTTCATTATTATTATTTGTCTAATTCACTGCACTTTTATCTGCTGCGTTGCTATTGAATAATTAATGCAAGGTGGTGCAGCTGGTAGCACTGTTGCCTCGCAGCAAGAAGGTCGCTGGTTCGTGTTCCGGTGGGATCTTTCTGCGTCTACATGTTCTCTCTGTGCAGCGTGGGTTCTCTCCGGGTTCTCCGGCTTCCTCCCACACAGTCCAAAAACATGTTGAGGTTAATTGGTGATTCTAAATTGTCCGTAGGTGTGAATGTGAGTGTGCTTGGTTGTCTGTCTCTAAGTGTGGCCCTGTGATAGACTGGTGACCTGTCCAGGGTGTCCCCTGCCTTCACCCTAAGTCAGCTGGGATAGGCTCCAGCCCCCCATGACCCTAGTGAGGATTAAGCGGTGTATAGATAATGGATGGATGGATTAGGTTTCAAATAGTTTTTCCTCTGTGAAGGAATTGGCAGCACTGTTTTGGTGCTATACAAATAAGTTTTTAATTAATATTTTACATATTGTTGGCGTCTTCAATATTGATGAGTAAAAGACTCATGCAAACATTAAATCCAAATCTCTTGGTCCAATTACTAACAAGATGCATAATTTAAGACATGATCAAAAGTGAGCAAAAAGCCCACAAATTAGAACATTTCAAAGTCGAAAGTTCTGATTTCTTTTTGTCATACCCCACAATGTAAACGTGTTTGCCTGTTATTTCAGCCGAAGCTGAAAAAAAAAGCCTTTACCCTCAAGATTTCACCAGATCAGACCCCTCTCCTGCGTCAACACACACACAAACACGGGAAAGGTGATGTAGAGGGCGCGCAAAGCCTTTTACTCTCTTGAGCAATTTAACAGCAATTAAAAAATAAATCATTAAAATCGAATCCCTTGTGAACTTTGACTACGGCAGGATTATCTTAATCAAACGGGACAAGTCTCGCCCCGGAGAGTTACGCAAGAGACGAGAGGTGAGTGTTGTGCAGCTCGGCAGGTCAGATTTTCCATAAAAGAGCTACAACTCGTGTCTCGCTGTTCGGTCGTGCTCTTCTGGTTAAAATGAAAGTCTATTTTTAGAGCGCAGCGTTCACAGCCAGCCACAACAAAACAGTCTGGAAATTAACATCAATTCACCATCTCTGCTGAGAGGCGTTTGTCTGTCCGACTGCTGCGTCGCTCTTTTCCTGTCCACTCGCTTTGCCTTTTTCTCTTTAACATGCTCAGCAACTTTCTATCTGCATCCCACTGATTCTCTGTCATGATCACTGTTTCATGCAGTGCTTTTGACCTCCTATTTAAATATCAGTAATATTTTATGTAAGAATTAAATCGAAGTAATTTCTTTTTTAATGCTTTCTTTTCATGTTTTCTTTTTCCCCCTCTTATCAGCTCAGTTGTCAGCTATCTGTCTCTGTATGGAGAAAATCCTCTTGGGTTCATGATGGAGAACAAATCTAATGTCTCATCTGCCTTTTTTTATTTGGATGTTTTTGTGTCTCCCTTCACTGGTTTGTCACATAAGGTTAGGCATTACTGCCTCTTAGTAGTAAATTATTCAAGCTTCAGAGGGAGGGAATTAAGCAGAAGCACCATTTATACACAGCTCATATGCAAATTAGGTCAGATACAGACACAACAAAAAGCTAATAAACATAACGAGTGCTCTGTTAACACAGAACTGCATTGCGGGCTTACAAAATGAGCAAAAAAAAACAAAAACAAAACACCTGTATTAGACAAGGTCCAGGGAAGGATGGCAGGAGTTCTGAAGGAGGAGAACTGGCCTAATCCCAGAGAAGATGTGTTGAAAAGACAGAGTGGGAGAAAGACAACAGAGAAGGTTTGTAGAGGAGATTACAAGAAATTTTTATGGAGAATGTTAAAAAAGGAATTTCCATGCCAGATGACTTATAAGGAAAGTGGACAGAAACATGATGTAGCTGCTAAACTAGATTACATGTGACTTCTTAATAATTAAAAGTGTAGCAGCGTAAATTAGCTCGGCAGTGTCACCTACAAACATGCACATGCTCTCTGGCTCTAGAAAAACACAGAAATGATGCTATTAACTAGATGTAAGAAAGGAAAACTCTAACAATATTATGTGCTGTATAACTCACCGGTACCCTGGATAAGGGGGTTTTGGATGGAGTGGTCTGGCCTAAGGATGAGGCAGGGATGACTGTAGACATTAACATCACAAAGTCAGACAGCATCGTTATAAAAGTATAAATTAAGACCAGGATACTTGCAGAAACAGAAAAACAGCATATTGTTCTACCTACCGGTCTGTGCAGGGGTGGATATAGGCGTCCCAGGGCCCTGCATTGGTACAGCCGACACCAGAGACCCCAGCGCCAGGCTGGAGGGGGGCTGAGGAGAATTAGCTGCCTGGCTGGAGCCAGCTGCCGTGACAGATGTGACGGTGGTCGAGCAGGGGCCTATTGGGGACGAGGTACCTGGCACAGAGGCTCCAGAGGCAGGGTCACCAGCCAGGATGTCTCCCTGGGTGGATGGCACCCCTCCACCGAGGTCCATGAAGAGTGAACGCAGCTTCTTGTCCAGAGCTTGGATGTCATCTGGCTTACCCTGGGACTCAGAGGACGCCTCACACCTGACAAGGAAAGACAAGACACATTACTTAATAATTACTGTGAAAGTCATTTTCAGATTTTAAGTATTTTTCAAAAAATATTCAGCATTAAACAGGCAACAATTAAAGTCAACCATCTAAATCCCAATATCTGCCCACTGATTTAAAAGGCATGTTGTTTTTTGTTCCAAATCTCCAAAATATCACTATTTATCAGTTCAAGAAACTGTAAAAACAGGACGAATCATCTAATTTTCAACTTTCTGATGGCAACTGAAATGATCATGTTTGACTTTTGGCTTTGTCAGGTTTTGTCAAATCTAACCAACCTGTTTAATATCAATAAAATGGCAAAAATAAATCATTTACATGAACATGATTCTGTAAAATCCCTTGGTTCAACCGAGAAGCCAATACCAACTCAGCTGTGACCAATGGGGATGTGACAAAAATCCAGGGAGTTTTTTTGTGTTTTTTTTTTTGCTGAACTAGGATGAACTACAGGCTGTGTTTACACAGAGCAGACAGGATGTCTAATGTTGTACATGCTGAGTGCAGGTTTTTTACAACAAGTTATTAAAGACATTTGTTTTTTCTTTTTAATAATCTATGTAAATATAACTTTGTTACACTGCACAAAATAAATTTTTGAGTTCTCTCCACTTCTAGCCATGGTTGCGCTGCTTCTGTAGATGTGCAGGACTTTATATTACAGTGAGGAAAAATATGAAAGGAGCAAAAAACCTCCAGCAACTGCTTGGGCTTCAGAGGGTTAACTCCTGTGAAAGTATTTCTCGAAAACATTCAGGAATAAACAGGCAACAACGAAAATTAAAATCTGGTTTAAAACCCCTCTTAGGTAGTATTTAAGTATGCTTCTACATGTAGTTTAACCCTCAAAAAACAAAATAATCTGCTTTACCAGAACTTGTGTTGTGTCTGTTTGATTGACAGCAGCTTAGCAGCAAACAAACACCACAACCGTCATCCTGAATCCTGATTGAAGGTCATATTAGTCCTAAAACCCTAATTGGAAGCTGGTAACTGCCACCTGAATGCTGGGATTTCTTAAAAAGACTTGCTATATTCTATAAAACATACACACTGACCACCTCTCACCTCGCATCACATTCCCCGCAGTGTGTGTGCGTCTGCCCGGGCAGGGCTGCCGTCTGTGGCTGCGAGTGGACCAAAGTTGGCTGGACTGAGGGAACATTTGTGGTCACTGGCAGGAGTCCCACAGCAGGGGAGGAGGAGGCGGTGGGAGCGGGATGGGAGGAGGCAGAAGGTGCAAGCTGGGGACCTGGGATGGCGGTGGTGGGGATGACGGAGGAGGAGAGGGAAGGAGTGGAGGAGGATGTGGGACAGACTGATGGATGATCGGAGGAGAGTTCGCTGGCGATAAGAGTGGAGGAGGGAGGGGAGGACACAAAGGGAACAGCCTGGGCGGGAGGAGGAGAGGTGAGCATCGACGGGGGAATGCTGGAGACGCTGGCTGTCGGTAAAGTGGAAGGTACTGGAGTCGCAGTGACAGCGGGAAGAGTCGGGGGCTGAGACTGGGTGAACGCCTGGGGCTGACTTTGTGCTTGACCCTGGACCTGCACCTGCGTCTGAGGTTGGGACTGTGACAGCACCTGTGACTGGAGGATGGACTGATTCACCACAGTGGGAGGAGGAGAAGAAGAACAAGGAGGACTGAGACAGACGGAGGGCACGGAGGAGAGGGTGGAGGACGAGGAAAGAGGAGGAAGAGTGGCATCCAAGACCTGCTCCTGTGCCTGGTTTAAATTAGAAGGGACAAGCCCAGCGGTGGCATCCGCAGCAGGAGGAGCTGTGCTGCTCTGTGAAGGGACAGAAGCCGCTGCAGGCTGCAGAGGGGGATGGCTGGAGTGGATGGAGGCTGGGGCGGTGCTGGGTCCCGCATCAAACTGATTTTGGTTCTGTCTGAGTTCAGAGAAGGCTTGCTGTAAGCTGATTGCTCCTGCAGACTGGGATAACGCCAAACCTTGGCCTGGAGTCTGAGATGGAGCTGGAGGAACTGGAAGAGAACAGAACACTATTTTAAACCACAGTGTGAGTGAGCACTTGGTAAAACGATTTGCACATCGAGAGGCATTTGTTTTGTTTGTTTTAAATCGCCCAAAATACACCATTCATCATTGCAAGGAACAGTAAAAACAGCAAGAATCGACAGGTTTTTATATTCCATACTGTCCTTGAACTAATCATGTAACTTTCAGTTTTGTCAGGAAAACACTCAAATGTAAGCTTAAAATCTGTATGTTAAAGCCAAAACACTTAATTCTACATGTCTTTTAAAATAATTGCCAAACAAATGCCATTCACAGTAACCAGATTCTGTAAAAAAAAAAAATATATATATATATATATATATAAATAATGACTGTATGGCACACACAAAAAATGTGGAACTTCTTGGTTGAACTGCAGGCAGTGTTTACACAGAGCATCGACAAGTATGGAAAGAAATTAAAAATGTCAGGAGTGAAAATTGGGGGGAAAAAAGTTGTAATTTAAAAAAAAAGTAAAATGAATAATCAAAGAAATGTAACTTGTGATGATTTATGGCATTATAGCTTTGTCATATTGCACAAAAGACATTTTTGAGTTCCCTCCACTTCAGGGTTGTGCGGTTTCCATTGAGGAGCAGGATTTTATATTGCAGTGAAAAACAATCCCATAATGAGTAAAACTGTGACAGGAGCAAAAAATCTGCTTGAGGTTCAAAGGGTTTATTTGCAAAGTCAGTGTTTTTTACATTGAAACTAATTCAAAAGTTCATTCAAGCACAGTACTTCAGCACATGCACCATCGCTACTGTTCACAATTACAAGTTTATGTCTGCACAGACGTATCTCGACTTCAATCCTTACCTGCTTCAACAATAGGTGCGGGAGCAGGAGAAGGAGAGGTGGGAAACATTTGCTCCTTCAGCCTGGCTTCAGGTACGGGGCTGACGATGAATCTCCGACCTGCTGAATGGACCACTTGTGCTGTTGCACTAGATGGGATGTCTGAAGAAAGGAAAAAGGAAGGGAGACACACAACTTTATTTGTTAATACTTAGATGCAAACTATTATGTTCTGCTGCAGCTTTTCTGCTGACCATGCAAGAAAGAGGCTCTGTATACAGAAAACAGAAGCTTATAAAGTGGACTACATTTATTAACTGTTATGCAGAAATTCAGTTTTGCATTTACATTTGCTAGAAATCCAGCATTGCCATCATAATGTTCCATAAACTTGGCATCTGCTGTTGTATTAAGACGTTTTATTTTGTCTATTTTACCTGGCATGGGGGCAGATATGGCAGGAATCTGCTGTGCAGCGTCACCTGCCATCTGCAGAGCAACAAAACAACAAGCTATAAACAGTGAAATATGAACCGTGGACGATAAAGGTGTAGAAAAATTATTTCAGGAAAGGTAATTCCAGTTTATATGCAGTATGTTTACACACACTACATACAAGCTACATAAACTTTATTAAAAACAGTTGGTATTTTAGAACTTTTGCTGTAACAACAGTAACAATGCACGAACACCCTAAAAGGAACAAAGAGAGAATGAAATAAAGACTGACTGTTGTATTTACCTGGCTGTTTGTGTCTCTTTCCAGACCCTTCTCATCAGCGTTCTCTATGACCTCTCTGACCTGCTCGATAAATGACTCCCTCTCACTCTCCAGGATAAACTCACTCTGGACCTGGACACGCACAATTGAAAAAGCCAGATTTAGACACGTGTTTATTTGGGCATAACACAGTTTGTACCAGAAACAAAGACGTTGCACGGTTTACAGTGTTACTCATATGTCACTATGTGGCAGTAGCACATTTGGCCTTGTGTGGGAGCCTGACGAGGACTCTGTTTGCAAAAGTGCAAGGACTAGAGTGCAGCAATTACGTGCACTTCAGTGGGTTTGAATGACAAAGTGCAGATAGCATGTGCGCTGGCATGTAGAACACAGTCCAGCCTTAATACAGAGGCATTAGGCAGGATTAATGGTCTGTCTGAACTGCTTGTCGGATGGTCGGACACTTTTTCGATGTCGCAGAGGGGGTGTCTCCGAAACCAACAAGCCGCCTGTCACATTTGCTTCACGCTGTGATTGGCCAGCTGTGTGGAGCTGAAAGAGGAGCTGAGCATTGTAGATCTCATTCTAGCAGGGTATCAGGGCAGAATGTGGCATTTAGAAATCTGGCTTGCATTCATAGGCTGAAGATTTAATTAAGTTAAATTCTTCTGCTATTTCCTATTTGTATAATACTTGTTTGTCCATTTTGTTCAGCCAAAACAACTTTAAGACTAAATAAAGGTCAGTCTGGCAATTTTGTGCTGCTAAGGCATTTAACATTTTTCATTCGCAGCATAATAACATAATATGGATAGAAATTATGCAGCTAAAAAGCACTGCAGGCTACTACAAGGTCACTCAATGACTTCTCCTTTCAGAATGATTAAAAATACACCTATACATGTTTTTACCAAAGACCATTGTACTGTACAGTCTTTCTGACTTCAGTTAGCAGACTATGATAGTTGACCAGTATGTGTGCATCAACAAATATAATCAGCAAACTTGTCAAACTCATTCGCATCTTGTTGCTAAAATTAAAAAATGTCAGTAAAACAAAGCTATTATTTTGTAATTTATCTTGTCTTGAGCTTTGAGAAGAGGTCTTTGTGAGAGTGAATTTTCAAAAATCTAGTAAAAGCTACGACATGGAGAAGAAGAAAAGATGTTCAAGCGAGGATCGTAACATTGATGCTAACTTTTCTAAGTGGGCCTCCTAACCTGCTGAGCCAAGAGACTGAAGGCGTTGTAATGTGTCAGGATACTTTACAGGCAACAGCGTGCTGCGACTTATTCCCAAAGACTTTTTTCCCCATTTTGCGGATAATCCATTATCTTAGTGAGCATTGTTGAAATTTGGTGCTCACATGTGCCACCTACTGGTTGTTGGTGTGCACTGCAGTTACACCCGGATGCATTATTTAAATGATTTCAATACTCCACAGCAACTGTGGCGTTTACAACAACAATCGCATCATTTCAAACCAGAAAAATCTATATCATGTGGTAAAATGTTGAGAGTGTATTGAAAAGTAGTTAACGCTCTAACCCAACTGTATTTTTTCAGTTGCTACTTAAATACTTGTGGCATTTCTCATGTGGACAAGTCATGTTTCCCTGAGGAGATTGTCTAAAAATGTGCACCCTTTATATAAGACGCTGCATGTCTATGACAGGTGGTCTTTCAGTGTGACCATCTGGAATGACTATAAACACTTTAGACTTCTGACATGCTCGGGCAGATCGAGTTCTGAAAGACCACAAACGTCCTGAAGGTTTTAATACGGTTGAAAAGAGGCGGAGTGGACGTGAAAAGCAGTGTGAAAGTGTGTGTACCATGATCTGAGCGATCTCCTCAGGGTTGTCTCCATCTAAGTCAAACCTAAAGGTCACCATCTTCCTGTTGTGGGTCTCCAGCTGACACTCTGCCACCCGGTCTCCTCGGTTGGAGATCTACATGCAAATACATGCAACAAAAACACAAAGAAATCAAACATACAATGATAAAATACGAGACAGAATGGAAGTACTTTTTCTGCGACTCAGAAATCTGTGATGATTCCTAAACACAGACAGCAGCTACAGAACAAAAGAGAGGACCTATTGTCTAAGCACTGCATTACAAGATTTAGACAATGTGCTATTACGTTGAGAACATTGAGCTTCGCTTTGGAAATCTTCTCATGGCGCGACCGACTTCGCACAGAACGTCTCTGATGACGCTTGGTGGAGCGTCCTTCATGACGGCCTCCTCCTCCTTCATTGCCGTCACTCAGACCTGAGGTCTCAGAGTGGCCACTGAGGAGAGAAAATGTAGAAAGATTAAGAAAAATAGCAGTAAAAGGGAACTAAGCAAAAGAAAGCAACACAAAAATTCAATACAATCAGGGAAATTGGGTTTTATTTTTGGATTGTGGCATCACTTCAATGATTGTGTGTTTGAGTTGGCTGGTGCATGCGAGTATTACCTCTCTATAGATGAGAGAACTTGCGGTGGCTGTAGTTGGGACTGTGACAGCTCTGAAGATTGTGAGGCAGACTGGAACACACACACAGGCATGTGAAAATACACAAAACACAAGACCAGCATGGAGGCTATTACCACAAACACCAGGGACATTATATAAAAAAAGGAAAATACAGCAGGAAAGCATGAAATATAAGCAAAGAGGAGCAAAAGTAGAAGCAAAAACTGGCTTGATAGCAAGCAATGTCTTCACGATTTCACAGTAACAACTCAACTGAATCCAAATAAAGAGAATAATTGTGGGCTAAAACTTTAAAATTTAAAACAACTGTGAGAACATAAGGAGCGAAAGAAACAGTTGTTACTGGAAGCATATCTCCAAAAATGCATGAAAGCCTGTCTTATAATTACAGTCTACCAGTGATGACTTAGAAATAAGAAACAAATGGTCTGAATTAGAGCAGTTCAACTGAGGCCATCTCTTATAAAAACAAATCTGCAAACAGTTATTGATCGATTCTATTAGACATTATTTATCGTCAGACCAATTAAAGCCCAGTCTAGCAGTTTTCGCAGATGTTTTAGATTTCTCACTGGCTCAACCAACAACCCAGGAAACTTTCCCAATAATTATTGCTTGATTGTGTATTGCTACACTCAAACCAGCAATACAAGCTATTCAACAAGAACCACCAAAACCACATCTCACTCATCTCGGAGAAATAATGGTAAAAATGACAACTAGCATAGAGCTGCTGCCAAAGTAGAATTCACCACATCAAAAAAAAAAAACAAGGCGATGTCTACCAAAGCTAGATTGTATACTTAAAATTTCAAACACAGAACAATAGAAACAAGGAAAGAACAGACTAAAACCTATTAAATATGCAGTTAGGCTGTAACTAAGATAGGTGGTAACTCACAGTTGCTGTTTTTCTGTAATGAAACATGTTTCTTTAACAGCAACTGTTAGGGATGTCCTGATCGAGTTTATTTTCTTGGTATTTAGTATGTACCCATTGCTATTTTCTAGATAACACATACTACTAGCATTGTAGATTAGTTGAAGTACCTGGTTTTACCTTACTGTTTTTTTTAATGTAGCTTTAGGAGGCAGGCACTTAAGTGTTGATAAGTAGAGAGCATTATGGGAGTTTAGCTATTAAAGGGGCACCTCCAGCCAGCCCACGTATGTTAAATCAAGTTGGAATCAGTTACTTATTAGCTCAGTATTACTGCCAGCATGACGTTTCACTGTTCTATACCAGCCTTATCCTATTTCAGCATTGTATCATACCTATGCTCTATTGCTTTTCTACTTCTAGGGCAGTGCATATCTTACGTTATGTCATTTTGTGTTTTTCTGACTAATATGTGGCCCAAAATGTTCTTACAGGATTAATAAAGTCTTATCTTATCTCAAGGTGTTGGTTCTACATCCTTGTATGTGAAGTAATTTCCGTGGCCTGTTTCATGCGCCTGTGGTTTTACCAACAATATCAGCTCATGACCAATAAAACGTGTGTTGAATTTACATAGCAAAAAAGCAATCATTGATCAATACTGCTGCACATATTCAGTAAATGATTTAAATTTACGATACGTGTATGTACGCAATATGTTAAACAGCAGGCGAAAATATCAAGTTTAGGTTCTTATTGATACAGATTAGTTAAACCTTGCTTTGATCGACCCCAATCCCAGTCTAAAGATTGGGCTCAGGACATTCCCAGTAGTTTAAATAGCCTAAATATCCTAAATTATCCCATAATAGCACTCCTGATATGTACAGTACAGTCTTCTTTTACAGGTAATGAAGCAGTATTCTATGCAAAAACTTTATGACAAGCTGAGAACCCACTGCAACGACATCTTGGTAGTTTACCTTCAGGACAAAGGAAGACACCATCAGTCTTAATGGATAGGCAACCTGTTTTTAACAATCTAAAGAACCATGTTCTAAACATAATTTTCTGATAGGCATTTAATCGTATCTATTGAACCACTCTGAACAGGGACATGACCTCCCCTTGGGGGTGTGACTGTTCTTAGCCAGTACCTGGGGAGGGGCTTCCATGGGAGTATCAGGCGGGGCGGTGACTACACTGATGATTGGCACCACGGTGGCCAAAGGCTGAGGCACAGGAGAAGGAGGAGGAGCAGGAGGGGAAACAATAGCAGGCACCACCCCAATGGGGATTGGCAGAGGAGAGGGAGGGGAAGCCACGATTGTCGCCGGCATGGTAACGGGGATAGATGGCGACGGAGAGGTGAGGGTCACCAAGGGGACGGTAGAGGTAGACGGAGTTACACTGGGCTAAAAAGAGGAAGGTCCAAGAAAAAGGAAAAGGAGGTAAGGGAAAAGAAAGGAAAAGGTAGATAAGGCAGGAAGAGGTAAGAAAAGGATGGGAGCAACATCACAGGGAGATCGGGGAGGAAGAAGATGAACCCAGCAAGTGATCCGATGTGACAAGAATGGACAGACTGGCCTATTTAAGTGCCTTGGTAATGGGACAGTGAGCTAAAGTTGGTCTTTCCATCACATGTCAAATGTACATGGAACAAAGAATCATCCTGCTAGCTTGTGAATCTGGATCTTTACTGGTCTACATGATAAATCATGTTAGAACAAATACGCCAGAAGAAAGAGCCATCCATAGTTCACTGACTCATTACTGACACGTTTGAGTCAAAGACTCTCAACCAAGAAACTTCCTGGAACACACATCAAGACTATTAGTGACAACATCTCAAACTCTGGGACAGAACAACTCTGTAAAACACACACAAGTCCAAGACCATGCAACCACAAACAGAACTATACAGACGATGTGCAGTGTGACTTCAAAGGTGGTGGAAGACCAAGCAAATTCTGTTCACAATGTAGATGGGCAACACTCTTTCATGCCACATTTCACTATACTGGACTAAAAACCTACTCAGATATTTTCTCACAGTGACACCTTACAATGTGATTGAACCCTCTGAGCCCCTCCAGGCAGTTTCAGCCAGTTTTTTGCTCCTGTTTACTCACTGTAGGCTCATTTTTTACTGCAATATAAAGTCCTGTACCTCTATAGAAACAGCACGATCGTGGTTAGATGTTGAGTCAACTCAAACAGTTCTTCTCTGCACTACAGCTTCAATGCCATAGTTTGTTTTTTGTTTTTTTGTTTTTTAAAGAAAAAGCATACTTTTTTGTTTTTTAAAGACTTGGCATGTACATGTATCACATTTTTTGTCCACAGGTGATACCACTATTGACCATTACTGTACACAAGAGATGGAAATGTTTTCACTTAAAAAAAAAAGAGTCAATAAGTTTTCCAGCGAGAAGAATCACTGATAGCCTTTTCATTTCTTTTATGTTTTACCAAACTTAATACTGGATGGAACCACTGACACAACACTTATTTCAAGATTTTCCTTTGCCTTTTGTTTCCACTATTAACCCTGGAAATATTACCCATCTTCATTTCTATAAAATTTGCTCATATATTTGTGATTCATGCTTTTAATCAGTGCTCAGTGGGAGTGTGTGGGGTGAACAAAGGGAAAGCGCTAGTATGGGTATCGTCAACAAAACACAGAGCTACAGTCAAAAGGTACAAAACAAGGGGGATTATTCTATTTATATTCTGCTCAACATCCAACAGATTCACCAACTAAATCACACTGATACACAATTACTTACTGAGATGCACACAAGCAAATACACCTTTATACCCAACAACAGGCACACATACAAAGTCACAGAGCTACAGTAAAGCCACATCCAGTACACTGTCAGACACAAAGGTACCTGAACCAGAGCTAGCTGGCAAGCCTGGTACAGAAGATAAAGGTGTTCTATACTGGGAGATGGACTTAGATCACACAGCTACACACACACACACACACACACATTCAGTCATTGTGCATAAAAGCATAAACACATCACAGAACCGTACAAACACACATCCATGCATATCCACCGACAAGTGTGTGTGTGTGTGTTAAAACACATAAAAACAAACCCGGTGGTAAACACAGGCAGCATGCCCATGAGCAAGCCAGAGAATGGAAAGAAAAACAAGAAGAAACAAACTGAGCCGATGAGGAGCTTAAAGTGAAAAAAAAAAAAAAAAGTAGAACATGCAATAATAAGACAAAAGGCGACAACAGTTTAAACTTGGAAAAATGCAAAAACATTTATTTTGTTGCTGTCGAAGTCTGCAATTCCTCTGTTTTTGTGCATTTATGCCTCTGCATATGTCAGGGTTTGTACTCTGTGTGTGTGTGTATTAATTAGCTTTACTTCTAAACATGTGCAGTCGAGTCAAGAAATCTGACATTGACACTTTCCAATAATCAATGTGTACATGTGACTGTATATTTCAAAACTTTATAAAGGAGCTTTCGCTACATTTCCAACAAATGCAGAGACTATTAGCTGATTCATATTTGTCTCAGGGTGTTTGTATTTTATGTATGAAGCTGAACACAAAGTCACTCTAACCCTGAGGTGAATTCACGAAGGCTGCAGTGAGTCAGTGTTTGTGTGCCGCAGATGGGCGGTTTCAGCTTGAAATGCCCGAATGTGTGTGCAAATGTACAAGTGAGCATAATTATTACTTGCATAAGGCTTTAGGTGGAAATGTGTGTTGGCTTAGATGATTGCAGACATACTACATATCCACTCACCAAGCACCTTTAAAAAGACCAGCGCAATCAAATGTTAACAGCTTACTTATTTTGCCACCCTCATGTATGTTCATGAAGTGGACAACCACCCACTTCAATTATAAAACTAAAGTCCAATGTAACCTTTTCTGACAATGTTCACAACATTTAAAATGCATTAAAAAATCGTATTATAGCGGAGCTGTTGCATTGAATTGCATTGGATTGAACAGGAGTTCCTCATAATGTGCTCGGTGAGAGTTTGTTCATCTACTTAATTCACTCCAGAAGCTCTCTGCAGATACCCAGTGCTAACTTGGGTGCATTGATTATGTATAGAGCCCCATATATATTTAAATTAAAAGTCTTGTACCTGTGCAGACGCCTGTGGCAGGGCTGTGTGTGTGGGGCTCTGAAGTGATGTATTACTCTGGCTCGATGGCACAACCTGAAGAGGGACACGAACAGAGGAAGGTGTTAGAGGAAAGATAGGAGAACAGACGAGAGGAAATGCACATGAATATCTTGTTTGGTGCTTTAACCCTCTGAACCCCAAAGACCAGAAGTGGGTTTGGAAAGCATGCTGTCTTTAAACAAAAAAGAAAAAAAAGAAAAAATAACACAATTTTATTAGGGCCACGAACTGGAGAAACAACAAGAACATTCAACGGTCTTTGAACTAATCATGTGTGTCGTTTAGGTTTATTTGTGAAAAACAACCAGATCTAAGCTAAAAACATTTATAAAAATCACTTTGTTCAACACACATTTTCCCAAATTAAACTGTTTGTGGTAACCAGGTTCTGTAAAAAAAAAAAAGAGAAAATTCTATGATCGTCAGCACAACTGAGGAGCCATTCATAAGTCAGCTGCAGCCAACAGTCATATGAGAGAAGTTCAGGGACTGTTTGGCTGAACTGGGCTGAACTGTAGGCTGTTTACACTGAGCAGATAAGAGACAAGTATGGAACCATTAAAAAATGTAAATAGTAAGTTATCAATACAGAGTCATCACTTTTTTGTACATGTTGGCTGTTCTTGTTGATGGTCTAGGATTTTTCCAATCTGAGAAAAAAAGAATAATGAAAGAAATCCACCTTTAGTATTTATTTATGATTTAATGGCAATATAACTGCGTCATTCTGCACAAAGGCAAAGAAATGCCCAGCAACTACTTGGAATTCAGAATGTTACTCACATGATCAAGCTAACATGCTTAAGAAAGTTTTAAAATCAGATGTCGTTAATAAACCATCATGTTTCACATTACAACTCGTGATAAATGGAATTCAGGGGAAAACCCTGTCTTAATAGTTAAAAAGAAAAATTAAAATGAATACAACTCATTCTAATCTGACAAGAAACATTCGATCTCTTATGAGCATCCAATTTCTTGCTCAATCAAATCAGGTTAGGGACATAACTAGTTCATAGCTGTGGTTTGTGCTGGAAGCAAAAAGTTCTTCAAAAGGACCGCAGTATTACTGCAGGCAAAGCGCCAGCTCTGTGGGAGCGGTTACCTTGAAGCAAAGGCAACGACTTCAATGAGCTAGAAAATACACAAGTTATTACTCAATAAGCAAAACTAGGGTGGAGCTGTTCATGTATTATATCTCTGTGGGGACTGGACTTCAAGAAAGATGTGGTAAATAAAAACACTACATCTGTATAAAGCGTTTCAAATGTACTGGTTTCTTTGGTTGTGTACCTGTTGGGAGGCTCCAGGAGGAGCTGGCTGGGTGGTGGCAGGAACCAGAGCGGGTCCTGGAGCCGGCTGAGGGGTCGGGGTCTGAACCTGCTGTTCAGAAACAGATTCAGAGAAAGACAGACAGAAAAATGGACAGAGGAGGAAGTTGTAGGATATAAAACGATGGAGGATGGAGGTGAGAAATCAAGAGAGGTTTGGAACAAGGAGGAGAAAAGAAAAAGAAACAATCAGAACATGTCTGTAGCTTCAGGAAATAAACCAAACATGGGTGCAAACACAAGGTACTCCTGCTGTTCTCTACTGATCAGGGTTCATCTGCATTTTCTTCTTGTGTATGCACACATGCACACAGACAACACGTACACGCACTAATACGTCCGGCAACAGATATATGCACACTGACAACTGTATGCATATACACAGCGTGTAGTGTAACAGTACAGGCACAGTGCTGGGGTTAGGCAGGGTGTAAGTAGGATTTTCTTTTTTACATGCAGCTCAGACCCTAAGTGATTGGCAGTGATAATAAGTTATACAGTCAGTGAAGCACAGTCGAAGCTGGAATACTGACACCAGACACTAAAATACACTAACTAAATGTGAAGTTTTCAAAGCACTCCCTGCATTTTGAGGTTTCATCCTGATGTAGTGTGATAGATTCTGCCTCCACCTTTGTTGACAGTAAAGCTCAAATAAGCCCTTCCAGAACTGGTTTGAAATGCTACTGACAAACTTTGAAATTATTAATAACATATTTGATTTTCTATCTTGGCACATGTCTGATGATTATGTAGCCTGACGTGGGGTGTATTTTCCTTCCTGAATTCTTCAAGTAATCTACAGGACAGCAGCATACAGACATTTACCACCAATGTGCTAACGACTGAACCCTTAGAAGGCTGTATGCAACTGTATACTTGTCATGAAGCTCACCCTCACATACCGAGAAGAAAGCTTACACAAGTACATGACACTGCACCAGACAGGCTGCTACCTACCTGTTCCTAAGGCAGTAAACACAATCAAGAATCTCACAGAACAGAAATTTTATGAAAAGAACTTAAGATAAATGAAACAAAAAAAAAAGGAGTTAATAACAGATAACAAAGAGTGAAGGATTTAAAGGCCAGTGATTATACGCGGGTCAAAGTAAACAATGAAGAAAGTAAAGAGGACACTGATAACATCAGCGTTCTAAGGGTTTAAAGAGTTCAGCTGTGACCTTTGAACCCTGTGTAGGAAGTTGATTTTCAGTCTGGAGAGGAAATGACAACATAGTACGCTAAAATAAAGAACGGGCTCGAAGCCAAGTTCTTTAACATTTACAACACAAAACAACAGAAAGAATCTAAAATATAACAAATGAATGTCTCCGCGTGGTTACATCGCTGGGTTTGTCCAAGCCCCCTCAGTTTTGTTGTATGTTTCTGTGTGTTTGTCCATACAAATCAGCAAAGTCTCGCAGCTTTACTAGATTTCAGTGGTTCTGTTTAAAGGCTTTGTCTGGATAATTAGAGCATTATTCATAATAATATTCATAATGATGTTTTGGAGTGTATCAACACAATTGAGATTTTAAGTTGCTACTTTGGATTTGTATGAGCAAAAATTCAAGTATACCACAGATAGAGTATACCTGCACAAACACACATTTCTCATATACTTTGGTATATGAACATACAGACAAAGTTTTACTTACTGATACTGACAAAATAAATCAAATACACAACATAAACACAGAAAGGAAGGGGCTCAGACTGTTTGCTTACAAAGCTTGTACACCAGAGAGAGTCTCAAAGGCCTTCTGCGTGTTGCTTTTGAAGTCGTTATTGCTTGATTAAGAATAATGACTCTTGGTGGAATTGAATTTAAATGATTCTGGTGTTGGTCGTTTCCAGACGTACTTAAATTGGGTCATTTTGTAGTGGCACAAATAAACCTAACTGTAACGAAACACTGTCGAAGAGGGAATACTGTTGGACATTATGACGGCAGAGCTTGAGACTCTCTCTGTGGTGTCGATATGACTGGAGGGGGTTAAAAATCACAACCAAAGACTACATGATGACAAATAAGCATCAGCTGGGTCACTTGGGTCAGCAGGGTATAAAAACAACAGGGACTGGAATAACAGCCTCTAGGTCAGATTACTAATTCAGCTGCTTTTCTTAGAATTGATGGATTACATAGTTTTCAGTGTATTTATTCCAAACCAGTGGTTTACTGATCTTAAAGGCACAAGACTAACTAACTAACTAACTAACTAACTAACTAACTAACTAACTAACTAACTAACTAACTAACTAACTAACTAATTGTTCTCACATTTTTAGGAATCCAAAGCAATAAGGATCAAATCCTCCATCTATGAAATGTTGACTATTTTCAGTCAAACATGAAAGAAAGCAGTAATTAAACCACTTCCATCAATCAGCAGCTGTTTGAGGATTTTGGCTACAAAAACAACTCATGTACTTTAAACTAGTAACTGAACCAGAGGTCTGGGTGTAGTCTTAAGGTCTAAATTCTGACCAGAGTGGAGTTAGCGGCCTGCATGGCCAGCAGTGACTCATGGTACGTCATATCGGGTTGGGCTGGTACCACCCCTCCGTGCCGGGCCCAGGCACTCTGGATCAGCGACTCCAGCTGAGTTGACGAAGCTCCCCCAAGCGGGAGCTCAGAGGACGGCGTTGTGGGCAGGAAGTTCTGCACAGAGGGTGGATGTCCCTGTGGGTCTATGTGAAGCGGTCCCCCTGATGGATCGTAGAGCGACGTGGAGGAGGAGCGAGGGATGGACTGAGCGGTGGAGGAGTCGAAGGAAGGATTGAGAGGCGGGGGAGGCGGTGACTGAAACTCTCCTGCATCGGAGGAGGCCAGAGAGTCACTAGAAGGTTCTGGGCTTCTGTCCTTCACACCTGCATGGTGAAGGAGAAGACTCCCAGGAGGTAAGGGGAGCTCCGGACTGATGTAGGTGTACAGCTCTTCTGTCACCGGCTGGAGACGACTGTATGTGCCGGAGCCACCAGATCCAGTTCCAGCGTTGTCCTCCAGAGGGAGATCCATGGAGCTCCTTCGGGCGCGGTACAGTCTGGACGCCAGGAGACTCGGGTCTCCGGCGGCGGCTGCAGCTGCAGCGGCTGCAGCCAAGTGAAACTCAAAAACACTTCCGGTAGGTGGCGGAGCATCAGCCATTACTGGAGGTGCAGAAATAGGGAAGGAGGACGAGGAGGCATGCTGCGGAGCATAGCATCCCTCAGATGACGTCGAGGAAACAGAGCCGCCAGCCGATGCGCTCATCGGAGGTAACGGTGGAGGTATTGGGCTGTGTGCACTCATTCTTTGCATGAGGTGGGGGTGCAGGTACCCTGGTTGAGACGGAGGACCAGGATCGAAACCCAGACTAGCAGCTGCAGCAGCTGCCTGCCTCTGCTGATGGAAACTCAGATGACCAAGCTGGTGTGCAGTCATTGGGTATCCTCCGTACGCCATCGCTTCATAATGGTCCAATAAGGCAGCTTGATTTAGACTTAATCTCCTCACTGCTTCTTCATGCTCTGCTCTCATGTCCTTGTAGCCATACAAACTTGGGTCAGACTGTCCTGGGAGATGCAGGGGCTCCCCGACACCGAGTCTTTGGGCGGCTGCTGCAAAACCAGGATTGACCATAAAAAGAGAGGGAGCCTCAACACCCTCCATCCCAGAGAAGGGGTGGAGGCTGCTCCCGTAGCGAGTGTAGGCAGGCTGAAAGTGTCGGGTGTGAGCCTCCAGAATGGAAGTGCTCTTGCGTCTCTGGGTGTTGTAGGCCTTTGGAGGCCCAGTGGGAGGAGGTGAGAAGGATATTGGGCGCTCAGGGATGGAGGGGAAGAAAATAGTTGGAGGGTCTGGGAGAGTCTGGAGGGGGATGTTCCCTCCTGCTCCTCCTCCTCCTCCTCCTCCCCCTCCTGTGCTTGCTCCTCCACTGAAGGGATGTGGCATTGAATGCTGCTGCGACAATGAGATACAATGGATTTAGGAATGAGACTCAGAGAATGACAGAGACAACCACAGCAAAGGCCCACATGAAATGGAGAAACCAGTGTATCAAAAAGAACATTATTTTGGAAAAAAAGAAACACCAACAGAAAAAGGGAAACATTCGCCTTCCACATTAAAAGCAAAATTATTAGAAAAGAACATATTAAAAGCTGTAGAAATGAAGAGAGGAGGAGAAACAAACAGGTAATGCAGAGATACGAAGGCGGTTACAATAGACGGATCCAGTGACACAACTGTACAGCACAAAGACAAGCAGACTGCACAAGACAAGACAGAAAGAGATACACAAGTCCACAGGTGGATGGAAAGTAAAGTATTAAATGCAAAGAGAAGAAAGGCCAAATGCTGGCTCTATGTCGGACAATATCCCGATGCATCTGAAATCAGCAAAACTGTCTTCAATAAGGGAAATGTTGACCTTCTAACTAATATTTGCAAGCTGATAATTGTACATTTTAAAGATTTGTGAAAACAGAAAAAACCGGTCAAATTTTTTGCATTGCTTTTCAGAAAGTGAAAATGTTGCCTCACAGATTTGTCCACTACTTCTGTACTAATCTAATCCAGTGGGGAGTAATGCGTATATATTCAGATATGATAAACCACTGCAATAATCCTAATCGTCCCAGTATATTTTGGAAAATGATAGATCATCTGCACTTTGTACTCAATGTCTTCCCGATAGCAGATGCACACTTGTGTCATAGAGCTTGGTGAAGGTCAGTCAGTATGTTTTTATTGTGAGCCCATGGTGGCCTACAAGAGGGAGCGAGAGCTAAAGAGAGATCAATGTGTAGCCTTTCTCACAGAAGTGTCTGAAAAACAAACTTAGTTAATGCAGATGCCAAATCTACTAATCAGGATAAAGGTGCCACTTACATTAACCCTCTGAACGCCAAAACCCACCGAAACGGGGGTTTGAAAGATATGTTATCTTTAATAAATAGACAAAATTATATCACTTATCAGAGCCAGAAATGGCAAAAATTGAAATAATTTACGGCTGTCTTGGAAGTGCTCGACTGTGGCATGCTGTTCTATCAGAAAACTTGACTATGTCTGATATTTAAGCTTAATGACATTTTATCAAAATTGCTTTATCCTTGATGTGCCAAAAATTAGCCATTTGCTGCATCTCTGGTCCTCGATGCAGAAAATTCAGAGATTTCTCGGCTGAACTGCAGGCTGTGTTTAAGCACACCAGATGGCAGTGAAATATGAAAACAAATCAAAAATATAAGTATTGAAATATCTGGATTATGTAGAGTCACCATTTTTCATCCAACATCCAGGGTCACTTGGAAAAATGTTGTACATGTTGATTCCTTTTTTTCTTTTTTAAATAAAATCACTCATCAAAGAAATTCAGCTTTCATGAGTTCTTTAGTATGATTTATGTAATCAGAACTGTGTCATACTGCACGTTTTTGAGTTCTCTCTACTTCTAGTCATGGTTGTGCTGCTTCCATCAGAGGTGCAGGACTTCATATTGCAGTAAAGCCCACAGTCATCAAAAACGTGACAGGAGCAAAACAAACAAAACAAAAAAAAACCTTTAACCAATTGGCTAAGTTTCAGATGGTAAAACAAAAGTGAGAGGTATACCAACCACCACACGTTTCAAAATAAGATGCTGTTAATACAGTGTAATGGTTCAACTTGGAGATGAACTCTCATGTAAAGTTTTACGGTGAATATAGTTACTGTGAAATGGCTGTCGGTGCTCAGAAACTTGTTGGAGTTCAGAGGGTTGAATCTGGTGCACATATTTTTCTGCTGGCTTTATATTGTACCGATAGTTTTGCAGCTGTTGCATTTGCTTGGCCTCCACAATTCTAACCTTCTATGCTCAGAGAATGAATCAATATGTACGCTATGAGGAGGATAGATACCGTTTAAATGTTAACATACAGTACAGGAGGCTGGTAAGACTGCAGTGGCACGAAACCAGCTCTATATTTTCTCCTGTGCATCTTATCATCATCTTACTTTAGATTCTAACAAAATGCTGTTGTTTTTTTTTAAAAAATTCTATTTGCTTGCATGGCTTTAAACAACTGTGCTGCGACAACTTGAGACTAGTTGATTTGTCATTTGGGCCTTCTTCTATAAAGCAGATTTGTTATTTCAGACTCAAACGTGTTCCTCATCTTTTACTCTCTCTCTCTTCCTCTTTGGCTCTCACCACCACTGGGGCTCCTGGGCATTACGTTTGTGAACCTACAGGGGTGGAGAACAGGGCAGGCAGGCTGGCCCTCCGCTGCCTGGCCCTGGGCACAGAGGAGGCCGAGTGAAGGGGCAGGACTGTCTCCAGGGCTTTGGAGAGGCGCCCTGCGAATGTGTCCCTCTCAGCTGTGAGAGGTGTGCAGGGGGAGGTGGTGGCGGTGGTGTAGGAGGATGAGGAGGACAGGTCTGGAGGAGGTGTGGTGGGCTGTTTTGGACGAGCGGCCAGGGGCGAAGGGACGTGAGAAAAGGAATAGGAGGAAGGGGGGACGCAAACAGACATGCTACGACTTCGACGGCGGCGCGATGCAGGCTGTGGGGAGTGATGGGAGAGGGTGGGACCGACATGAAAAACAAACACAAAGAAATTAAAACACACACACAAAAAAACATACTTAAACAGAGAGGACAGACATTGGAAAACTCAGAGGGAAACACACACACAAAAAAATCAATGACAGGATAAATAAAATTGTTTTACATTGAAAATAAAAAATAGTTAATGTTACATTCATAATTGCAATGAGGAAAAAAAAAAAAGCAACAAAAAGCTCCTAAATGGTTTGAAGAGAAAAAACAAAACAAAATCAGGGGCAGGTCATGGCACGAGAAATAATTTCAGTTTTTCCAACAGAAAATTTCTAAATGGAGTGAGATATGTTGTGTATCGTCCTGTAAAATACATAAATTACAAATATAACGAAAACAGACAAAATTATTTGTGACCAAATGTAGCAAAAAAGAAAAATAACTGAAGAAACTGAAAAAAAAACCCATCTGAAGCCAATAAACAAACAAACAACAACAGTATTACATAAAAGGCAAAAAATGCTCATGCACAACAATTTATGAAAAAGTTAATTAATGTGATAAACAAAGTCAGTTTGTCGTTTTCACTGGCTCGAAGAAATGATGAAAATCTGTGTTCATAAACAGCCCTAAAAAGCCAAAACCTTTATTGAGTTATTTACTGGATCAGCCTCCAGACTGAATGAACATCAACAACTTGGTCAGTTTAGTTTGGGTGCCAACGGGAGCATTTGTAAAAAGGACGTCATCAGATGCCAAAGTCTATATGTGGCAGAGTAAATAAGAGACACACACCTCTCCATTAGCGATGAGCAATGCAGGCTCAGTGGTCAACAATTAAAGATGATGGTTAAAATAGAAAGCATGGGGAGAAAAAATAATCCCTGAGTGAAGCTGGATAAATATCTCGGGTTGTAAGAGAAGAGTAGAAACCATGCACTGTGAAGATAGAAATGTAATGTTGCCTCAACTTTGAGTTTTCCTGTGTTGTGTTTATTTGATCAGCAACCTTTCCTGAATATGATACTTCTGCAACATAACTGTGTTTTCATACCAATGAGCCCAACTACGGACGTAAGCTTTAAATGATCGAAACAAAGAAATAAACAATACAACAACTTTTATAAAAGTAATTGGAACTGAAAAAACATGACATGACAACTAAATGAGGGAGTACAAATATGTATGTATAAATATATGTTGCTACAGAACAGGGTGGTGTTGAGGGACAGAGAACGAAAGAACTGTTTGATAAAAAAGCAGGATTGTGGGAAAGAGGGATGTATGAGAGCTTGAAGGGTGAAGAAAGAGCCACTGACATCTAAGATAAAACACAACAAAAAGTGATAGATGGCATACTCGTCTCCTGGTTGAGTAACGGACTAAAGCTCAAGCTTACTTCTCTAACAGAAGAAACACCCGACTGTGTTTTTGGCATATGTGGCTGAAATGTTGACTGATAAACTGTCAAACTAGGTTACGAGGTGTCAAAAAGGTTCCAGGACTGGCGTCACAAAAGATATACTTCAAACCCAAACTACAAACTACCAGTTTTCCCCTTCAGACGATCAACCAGCACGTCTACAAAGAGATCCTGCAGCGTTTGCTTCGTTCAGTGCACGAGAAGAGGCAAGAGTTGTGGCAGGACAAGTCGTGGCTGCTTCACCATGACAATACACCTGTTCACAATGCCCTGAGCATCCCATAGTTCCTGGCTGAGAAGAACATCACTGTGCTGGAGTGACCTCCCTACTCACCCCACCTGACTCTGTGTGATTGTTTCCTCTTCCCCAAGCTCAAGGGGGTCATCAAGGGGACCCGTTTTAAAGACGTGGACGACATCAAGATGGCTGTGACGACAGAGCTGCTGAGGATCCTGGAAGAATCCTTCCATGAGTGCATGGCGGCAGAGAATGCTGGAGAAGTGACTCCAGGGGATTATTTCGAAGGGGACAACTTGTAGTTTGGATTTGAAATATATCTTTTGTGACACCAGTCCTGAAACTTTTCTGAAACACCTCGTAAACGCTGTGGGTTGCATGCTCTTGTAGCAACACGGCAATCTCTAGTGTATTTAGTTCACCAAACATCAGCAGTTCTCCAAACACTGCAAACTTCATTCCACATCACTCCCACTCCACTCCGGTGCTCACTTCAAACCCACCAGCCTCTTTTATCACATCTGTGAGCAGAGAAAACTGCACTCACAGGTGTGACGTGAAATGTTTCATTGAAACGGAGCCGTCACTTACCATGGGCTGCTGCGGCTGATAGCCTGGGTGTTGCTGCGGGGGAGCGGAGGGGGTAGGAGGGTAGGGGGTCTGGGGCTGGGAGGGGGGCTGGGTAGAAGGAGGGCAGCTGTACGACATGGTCAGCTGACCCAGGTGGGGGGAGTCTGAGGAGAAAACTGAGGAACCCTGTCCACTGTCCACACCTCCCTCAGCTGAGAGACACAGAGAGAAACGTGTTAGGCTATAACCATGTGTAATGTCTCCACTGATTCTACAACATGTCCACAGTCTAATCTTACAGTCATGATTTAAACAGAAGCGCACAAACTTACACAGTTCAAGGAAGAAAACTTTAAGAGTCTCAGACGGTCAGAGAGTTTTCTGATTACAAAAGGACGACTCAAAGCTGTGGGCTACACTTGAAAAGTAAATTAACCATGTCTGACACTGGGTTATGAGAAATCACTGATAATCTGATCCTGGAAAAACCCTCATGGCTCATGATTATGATGATTGGTGTTGGCCCAACAAATATTTCATATTTAGATCTGCAACAAAGTTGTGACCATTATGTCTCAGCGTGATCATAAATCACACATTCTAGATGTTTGAGTTCAGAGGTTAGAACGTACATCTATATGTCAAAGCAGTTTCTGAGTGTTTCTGTCACGATTTGACTCACTGTGGGCTCATTTTTACTGCAATATAAAGTCCTGTTCCTCTACTGAAACAGCACAACCATGACTAGAAGTTGAGAGAACTCAAAAATGTGCAGTATGACAAGTAAACATGTGCCCACAGGTTTTACCAATACTGGAAAAAATATGCCTCTACACACTACAGATATTTTACGACTGACATTTTTAGTGCATTTCCATGATTGTCTCCTGTCTGCTCGGCGTTAACACTGCCTGCCGAAAAGTCCCTGAACTTTTGACTGTTGGTCGCAGCTGATTCAATAATAGCTTCATGGTTTTTAGTAGTTAAGCAATAGCGCAAGTAGAGTAAAATGATCTTGATTAAATATCACATTTTTAAGGTTAGATTTCATGATGTTTTCTGACAGAAAAGCACGTCGTAAATGAGTAGTTCAAGGACTGTCGGACAGTTGAAAATCCATGTATTCTTTCTGGTTTTACAGTTTCTGGCTGACAAATGGTGTAATTATGCCTTTTAAACTGGTCGGCCGGTTTTTTTAGTCACACTTAAGTGAGCATTGAAGCACTTTTTATAAATGTGGACCTTGGTGTCAATAAAATCACAAAACTGTGTATTCAAGCATCCAGGAGCCTCAGCAGGCAGAAATATGTAAATACAAAATACAAGAACTTACAAGTGTGTGAGATGCCGGTCTGCTGATAGTGAAGTTGCTGTTGCTCCACTTCCGCCTCCTCTGTCTCTGCCTGCAGAAAAACAAACACAAGCCAGGATTCAAACTTAGGTGCAAACTTTCAAAACTTGAATAAGGGTCTTGTCTGCTCTGACTACCCTGGACATAAATGGCACGATGGGACTTTGAGAAAGAACATTTTAACGTGATGAATGTGTGGTGCTAAATTGCTTCTTAAGAACTTTACAAACCTTAAAAACCATTCCCTTTTCACGCCTAAATTCGTTTGTTGGTGCAATATATGCAACAGTAACAGTCAACAAACCTGTGCGTGTGACGCTTTGAGTGTCTCTTGTTGCTGCTGCTTTTGTTGCTGCTGCTGCTGTTGCTGCTGCAGCTGTTGTTGTTCTGCCTCCAGTTTTCTCTTCTCCTGTTCTTCTCGTACCAGCTGCCTCTGTTCTCTCTTCCTTCGGATTAGAGACACACGGTCCTTGATGGCCTTGGCCATGGTCTTATGGTCCCCCTCAGCAACATAGCCTGACTCAACCTGGGGAGACAAATAGATACAGTAAGAAGTAGGGAAATTATTGTTTTGTTGTACCCAAAATCTATCACTTCCTCCTGCCATCATCCATCTGTTCCCTTCCTTCTGCACTCTACATACCATTTCCTGGGCCACATCTTCAGGGACGTCTTTGTTCAGGTCGAAGGAGAATTCGATGGCCTCGTTGTCTTTGTATTTACCTGTAAACAACATTTTAAATTGGTGGTCAGTCAATTACTTGTGGGAGGTTGTCTACCAAAATATTTGCTTTGGCCTTTTACCAGATAAATAGTCATTATGAGCTGCTGAGAAAAAAAATGCTACCTATTATTAATGTTTTTTTGAAAGATCAGGACAAGCAACATAGGTTACTTTACTGTTATACAGAGGCTCTGAAATGGACTTTAGAAACGCCAAGTTCAAATCAAAAGAAAAAGTAACATAATTCCTTGCCTTTCAGCTTCTTGACGTCTTCTATCCTGAGCCAAAGTTTGATAGCAATCATCTCCCCATCATCTTCTTCTGCCAGTTCAACCCTGACCCCAGTTTCCTCCTGGAAGAATGCATGGTTCAGCAGGATCTTTATGGCATACCTAGAGGAACAAGACACCGGAAAACAGATTTAGATCAACACAAGCATTTTTACTGGAGGCTTAGCAGGAGACAGAAAGATTTAAAAATAATACAAAAGAAAATTCTAGCGAGGAGGGAGAAGTGGAATTTCCTCTTTGTACAACTTGGAGTCTAACAGGACAGAAGGTACGTCAATAATCTGCTAAGAAGGTCATCCAAGGACAGCCTTAAAACTGTGACATTACTTTTATGGGCTCTGACCTCTTTATGGTTTTTAAAAACTGTAGGACAAAACTACTCTAAAAACATCTCATGTTCTTGAATTAAACTGAAGGTAACTGAAATTGGATAATAACAACAAAAAGTAAGGAGGAGAGTGTGCAAGAGAGGGATAAAGTTGTTTTGCTAAAGTTTCTAAAGCAGCAGAGAAAAGGCTATGGTGGATACGTTGGCAGACCCACAACATGGGGGGAGAGAGAACAGAGCACTTTCTATTTCTAATCAAGTAGCTGTGAGTGCAAGATTTAGAGAAAAGAAGGATTTTCCAGTTCAACTCTCCAACGTAGAAAAAAAAAATTTACATTCTGAGCCCCAAAACCTTCTAGTGGGTTTGAAAGACATGTTGTCTTTAAAGAAAATCACCATAAAAACACCAAATATTAGAGCCAGAGACTGTAAAAACAGATAGAACAGTCAAATTTAGAACTTTCCAATTGTCCTCAAACTACTCGTCTGTTATGTGATGCTCTGCTGCGTAAATCAATCAAATCTATGCTTGTAATTGTGAAACTTAATCAAAATCATTTTATTTTACGTGTTTTATTTAATAATTATCCAAATATAAATCATTTGCCCTAACTAGATTGTGTGAAAAAAACACAACTTCTGCATTCCTTGGTGCAGCCATTAAAACGTTAGTGACAAAAAGCCATGTGACAAAAAAATTCACGGACTTCTTGGCTGAACTGGGCTGAACCGTAAGCTGTCCTTATACAAAAAGTGAAGTACGAGCAGAAGTAATCAAAGAAATTCAAAATGTATTTATTTATTTTTAATATGATTTATTTTATCTTAACTGTGTTGTACATCATAAAAGCTATTTTTTGTTCTCTCTACTTCGAGCCATTGTTGTGCTCTTTAAATAGAAAAATGTGACCGGAGCAGAAAACATCCAGAAACTGTTCTGGGAGTGAACAAACAACTGCCACAAACACATTTTTTTTAAACCATCGTTACCATCATGTATGACTGGGTGTTGTGATGATGGCACAATCAATTGTTTTTTATTGACACAAACGACTGAATGCAAATTCCCTGTCGGTCAATTTACCCAAACTCTGGAGGACGTGACTACAGTCCGTCCAAAGAGCCACCCTAAGAAACCACGACCTGTCAACAGATCCATATTTAGCATCGACCGTCTTTGTTTGTGCGACTCACCTCTCGTCCTTGTTTGTCCTGATGCAGCCCTCTATAATTTCCTTCACCTCAGGAATGGCCACCTTGTCAAAACTGGCAGGCTTCACTCCCTGCACAAACAAAATAAACGAGCGGTGAAGGGAAGGAAGGTTTTGGAGAGGTCGAACATGGAAAGAACCAAACACAGACACACACACACAAGTCAAAAAAGAACAAAAACACAACCCTGGTCTTGATCAAGACTGCAAACGTGAGACTTACCACCAGCTGGTAAACAATAAACCACTTAATTTAGCCCAAGAAGACTAAATTAAGCAGTTTAAGCCCCATTAACCTCTTAATTTAGTTTCAAAAAGCAGTTTTCTCCATTTGTGCTTCTACCTCATGATTTGAATAATGGCTTTCTTGAGTTTAACAAAACAGAAATAAGGCAACACATGTAAAATATTAAAACAGAAACAATACAAGAGAAGCTTACATTTCTGCAGCTGCATGATTCACTGACATTTATTAAATTAAACTGAAATAAATCTTGTTTACAGTCCTGAAGTGCAAGCGGCTGTCCAGTTAAAAGTTTGGCCCAGGGTGGAATTCCACATTAACCCAGTTGTCCTCCCAGGAATAAATAATGAATAAAAGCTTTTCAGAGCCAATTAAGAACTCTAGAGCACATTTTAAGGTAAAACGCTAATGGAAGGAGTCAGCAGGAACCCGTTCAGGAGTTTGGCACCAAAGGAGGGAACTTCTACGGCCTGATACTAAGAAACATCTCTCTTTAGAAAAGGTGCAACTGGGAAACTAGTTAAAAGACAAACCACAGAATATTTAAAGTAGAAGGTAGGTAAAGTACTTTAGCATGATGGGCCACCATACAATCCAACATTTTACTGCCTTACGATAATGGTGGGAAATGGCCACAGTAATAGATTCTAGATACTTCTGAGAAGCTCAGAACAAGGAGCGTTTACCCTTCTAGTTTCCGCTGCAGGCTTCTTAATGACCATTACAGTCGTTTGAACATTGTTTATATCAGGGTTTATAGGGGAACAAAATAGATCCAAGCAAAGATAACCGAGAAGGGAGCTGAAACTAAAGCTAAAAGAAAAGACGTGCAAAGTAAAATGCCAGATCTTCTCCATCTGTCTGCTGATGTGCTCGTTTTGTTGCGAATCTGAACGCTGAGCAGATGGCACCTGAAATGTGGTTATTAAAAACATATAACCAGAAATAATCAACGAGGCATTCCAGTAATTCACACAGGATTAATTTCTGTCTCCTACAGATATCCTTTTCCTCAAATCACATATAATATTTCAAATGCACACGCTAACTCACAAAGGTGAAACCAGATAGGAAGCAATAAAAATGAACAGAACACTTTAAAAAAGGTAGGAAGAAGATGAGAAAACCAAGTGGAATAAGAAAAAGAAATAGGAGACAGTTGGTTTTAAGCTTTGTCAAACTTACCCAGAGAGTGTTCAGAGAGGTGGACAGGAGAGATGTTTGACAGACAGATGCCTCTGAAGAAAGTTTTAGCCTTAAGTGTTTGACTAACTGACTGCTTGTCAGGCCGACAGACCGTCTACCTCAACCTGAACGCCAGCAAATGCCCACTTACTTCTGCTCTTCCCCTCCAGCCTGGTCTTCCTCGCCCTTCTTTCCTTTCTTTTTCTTTCTCGACCTGTTTCTCTGCTGCTACCCGACCAGTTCACCATTACATAACAACCCCCATCTCTCTGTGCCTTTCACTCTGTTTCACACACAAACACAGACTTCTGCGCTCACACACATCCTGAGATTCCAGGGCCAAACAAAGTTAGGACCGACGCAGGAAGTAATGGTATTAAGTCTGACAGAAGAAGGGAGGGTTAGAGAGAGAGAAAGATGGAAAGAAGGCTAGATTTTAGTTTAATAAGGCTGATTGGAGGCCAGGAATGTTCCAGGAGGAGACGGACCATGAAGCGTGTCAACAACACTGTGTGTCAAAGAATAAGAAGATAAGCTATAAAGCATATTCCACGCCTTTCAGTAATGCTAAATAATACAAAACACCTTTATTATTAAAAAAAAATAAAAAATCATTGTGAAACACTGGAGGTAACTCTGTCCAGGAATTCACAAGAAGAAAAGATCATAAGGATGTCTGAACACCCTGTTACTAGTCTCCCTTAAAGCAGTCGACTACCAACTTGGAAACCACTACAGTAAGCACTGGTTTCGTTCCAATTTCCAATTGCAGATGAGGCTTCAAACCTAAAACGCAGCCTGATGTCACTCAAGAGAAGATCAAGATGAAAAGAAAAATATCAGAGCAATTTCCAGGTATAGCAAAAGGCTTAATTTACTGCAAAAATTCATTAAACAACAAGCAATTAAAGATGATATAGTTGACATTTACACCTTAAAATCCATGATGTCCCCCAGCAGTTTGTGTGTCAAAGTTTTGAAGCCTCAAGTTTGTAATCTGGCTGTTGCATCTTCAAACCAGTCAGGGCAAAACACACATCCATACAGAACCTACCTGTCAATCACAAGGTAGTCTCACCCTAACACGTACTCTGTTTTATTGCCTATTTTACTCTAACTTGGACCATAATTTAGAAAATGAATATCATGCTGTGGTGGGGGTGACATGAAATTAGCAATTTAGATCATAAACTTATCTGGAAAACATTTACTAAGGTAATTAATCAAGCGAGAAGTAGGGTGATTTTGTATATGTTTGGAATTATTTTTGAAACTTGAGGAGTCGCCCCCTGCTGAACGACAGAAAGAATGCAGGCTAACCTTTAATTGTAACATTTTGTTTTGGTTGCACAGCAAATACAATTTAAAAAAGTGGGGCAGAAGAAATGCCAGCAAACTAGTAACCTAGTGCCTATTGTTTGTTTTCCTCACTTGTGATGGATCACAGTTATTCTAGTATGACTGTTCTGACTTTGTGGGTTGAATTCCCAACATAATGTGCTAAAGCCGCTGTATGGGGAGTGGACTTAACTTGTTTTGCTAAAGTTACTTACAGCTATTTCATTATTCATGATGGTGAAGACAACAACTCCCTTGATCCCACGTTACTGCACATTAAACCAAGTCTTTTAATACTGGTCTGATTGAGAGACCCCTGAAATTAGATCATGTGCATCTAAAAGGCACAATTTGTAAGTGACCTATTAGATTAAATGAAAACTGTCTTAACAAGCCAATTTTCAGAGTCACATCAGGAGTTAACTAACTTTGTGACGACAGACAGAGGGAGAATTGGAGGGTGGAGAGCTGGTCGGATGGATTAAGCAGTGAAATGAAAGGAAGCAGGTGACTGAGGTGCCCTGGGGTTGTCACAAGGTTGTGTGTGACAGTAATAGATACAGACGACTAAAGTTGAACGCTTGACTAATTGTTTTGAAAAATGCTCTGTTGCTTCCAGTGTATCGGATCACAGCTGCCAAGTCCTAATTCAGACACATGCACACAAACAGAACTGTGATCCCAAAGGCTGAGGTCACATCAACAATCGAATGTGGTTGAATCAAATTGAGGATGTGATTTCGGTTAAGAGGGTGAAGGACAGGACAGCAAGAGAGGCAGAGGGCCAGACTAACATGGAATAAAACATACTGTCTGAATCGATTCTGCATGTGAAGCTTCTTAGAATAATTGAGAGATTCAAAGGTAGAAAGATGACAGAGAAAGAAGAAACATACAGAGATGGGTTTTTTTTTGCCACAGGGGTGGTCAGAGGCAGGGAGGCAATCTTAATCCAAATCCTTTCAATTTGAATGTGCCAGTCAGATAGTATGGATGATTTTATCAATTCCGTCACTGAAATGGAAATCTAGAATGAAACAGAAAATACATGAAAGCATATGACGGCAACCGCAAATATGTAAGTAATAAGTAATAAAAAGAAAACCTGCAAGAGCAACATTAACATCTATATGACTGACACATTCAAATTAAGGGGATGTGTAATAGAAAATGAGGGCATGTTTGGAACAAATTACATTTTACTTTTGATATACACATCAAAGACAAGACAAAAAAAACCTTCCACTGCTGGGTCTGGAGTTATTAAAATTTAATATCAGACTTCACCTGAGGTAATAGAAGCGCCTGTTTAAGCTGTAGACGATGATGCACTCATCCACAAGCAATGATAAGCTTGTTGTAACACAATGACTAGAAGTGCCAGCCAAGTACGAGGTGCATCAAAAACGTTCTGTTCCGGTTGCGCAATAACGGTGCATTGCATGGTCGTGGTATGTGTTCACATGATTTGCCATTTCTAAAGTCCCCTGTCACCGGTAATGTGAGGAGCTGTGCACTGCATTCCGCTAGCGCTGCGTTTCGAGATGCGCTGCCTGCTTTAATTTGCATGAAGTTGAGGTCTGCGCTAGTTTGTGCAAATGAGAGGCTTCAAGCTGCCACTCGACGCCTCTGGAAAACAACGTTGAAATCTAAAATAAAGACAGACTTAGCAGCTTCATGACGTATTTTCTCGCCTAATTGTTTTCAGCAACATCTTTTGGTGAACTATTTTTACGATATAACCGAAAGTTTTCTAAAGTTGCCATGTTGGACCAGGTATCCCTTGAGTGAAGTGTTTGCCCAATCAGGATCAGCCGTTGTTTGGTTTCCTGTTGGCGAACACCAGTCAATCGTCTATTATGACACCGCCTAGTCCTACGACTATCAAGCGTCCAATGCCAGGACGTGACACCATCCCTGTGGATACGCACCATAACTCTAATGAGTCAGGATTCCGCACGGCGTTGTGCGATCAACGGTGGGACCACTTATGTTTCAGGTGTATATGTGCAACTTTCGTCAACACTCCCAGGAAGACTCAAGCTTAATGTGGAGGATCATCACTGGTGATGAGAGTTTGGTCTACAGTTCTGACTAAGAGACCAACCAGGAATCCTCGCAGTGAAAGAGTCCACAGTGTCAAAGACCAAAGAAAGAGCTCCCCAAGAGCATGAACTTTGTCGTCTTTGACATTCACGTGGTTGCGCACCATGAATTTGTCCCCCCAGTGTCAGACTGTCAGGGCAGAGTTCTGTAACATGATGAGGTGTGCGAGGGAGAACATTTGGCACCAACGACCTAAACTGTGGCAACTGGATGATCCAACATGACAGCCTGCAATTTTTTTGGACACACCAATACAATCGTCGCTCTCAACCTGCCCGACTCACCAAATTTGGCTCCCTGTGGCTTGTTCCTCTTCCACAAAACAAAATACAACTTGAAGTTTTGCTGTTTTGAAAGAGCTAAAGAAATTCAGTGTACATCAAAGGTGGCTCTTGACATGCTTCTACCACGTGATTTCTAGCAAACTTTCAAAATGCAGCAGGAGCACTGGGAGCAGTGTATCTCTGCACAAGAAGACTATTTTAAAGTAGATGGCGGCTAAATTTTAATCATGTCTTGCTTTTGCTCTTTATAGACACTTTCTCCGAACTATTTGATGCACGTTGTATTAAGGAATAATGGTAGTTCTTCCATCTTTTGCTTGAAACTTATTGAGGAAAACAGAATTACAAAGTCTTTGGAGCATCATATTTGTTTTGCACTGATGCTTCAGCAAAGATTTTAATTATTTGATGTTTCCACAGAAGCAATATATAGAACTGACATAAAATATGTAATAAGACAAGAGCGGTGCAGAGAGAGACAAGCGATAATGAAGGATAGAAAGAGAAAACAAGAAAAAGAGAGGTTTCTAGTAATGCCTCTGGTCCATTAACCATCACTGTCAGCCCCCACAGAGTTTGACTCAGCTCTGTGAGTAAAGGAGGGAGACAGCTCTCATCTGCCTCTGAGTGTGTTGTCAGCAGCACTTGACTTAAAACAGTCTCTGATTGCATCGGTTCCTCTCTCTGTGTTTTTGTGTCTGTCTCTTTTTTTTTCTCATCGTGTTTCTAACCACATGTCATATAAATTTCAGAAACCTGGAACCGTTACAAAGTCTAAAAGGGAATTAGGCGCATCGATTCTGGCTGGATGGGCTGATGCCAGAGTCTACCTGATTGTCAACAGAGTAAAATATGGATTCACACCAGGGCAGGTTTTAAGGGTTGTGGTTGACACACCCTTTGCCAACTTTCAAAACACCATAAAGCACTTAAAAAAAACAACAACAAACTCTTCAATGCTGAAACTGAGCATACCATGTCAAGCCTTTGTCATTTTTCTTCGTTTTTTCCTCATTTCAAAATAACTTCAAACTGCCGTTCTACTGAAGATGCTAGATTTTGTTTGGAGTTCAGCACATTTTCAGCACAAATCCCTTATGTGCTTCACTTTGTTCTCCATTTGTTTTAAACCCTTAGAGAAAACACTCAGAAGTGTCTCACAACAGCATTCTTTAGTCAGTTATTTTAACCTGAAATGACCAGGCTTGCCCAGTACTACTCTCTACTGGTGGAGAAAACAATGCAGTCAAAAAGAAGGTCTTCAAACATTGCTACGGTTTTACATTTTTATCTTTATGCAAGACCGACTGAGACCGAATTGGGGAGGGAGGGAGCATAAGCAAGAGAGAGTAATCAGTGCAAAAACATCATCATATGACTGGATGTCCTGCAGCTCATGCCAAACTTATTAATACAGTCAGTAAACAAGTGTGTGTGTGTGGGGGGGAGGAATGGCAGAGAGAGCTGGGTGAAAGAGGAATGGAGAAAAATATAAACAAGGCTGTTAGATGCAAAACATGAATGCCACAACTTGGTGTCTCCACGCTCTATTACCACCCTCAGCCGAGGCTCTGACAAGGCATCGTTTCACTCTCTGTTGCACACATTTCGAAGAGGGAATGCAGACTTACGCTAGTGACTCTTCTGTAGATCTGGGCAGCGTTTTGACATTCAGAGTATGGGTACTCTGAGGTAGCCATCTCCAGCATGCACATCCCGAAGGCGTAGACGTCTACGGATTCATCGTACTTCTCTTCATACATCTCTGGAGCCATAAACTCTGGGGTACCTGGTGAGTAAAAGAGGAGAGAAAAAGAAGACTTTTACATCATGTTTGGGAGTTTAGATCCCTCACTCATCATATTATACATGTTATTTTCTTCCTTTATCCCTTTGAGAAATTCCTACTGTAGATTGCTTTTACTCCAAAATCAGAGTTTTGCAGGGACTGAAAATGTTTGTCGGGATGCAAAGTTTGAATCATTTCTTTAACCGACAGCTGGCAGTTTCATCCATCAATAATCGCTAAAGCATTTACACGATACAAACCTAGAAGCCAATAGTATGGGCTAATTTCGGTCACATGACATGTACAGCTCTGACACGTCACGTGTTGTAGTTTGAGGCTCCACCTGGTGGAACAACCAGGTACTACAGCTGATGTATTATACATTTTTTGACATGTATGACTTCTGCCTTATTGTTTAAATATTTTTAATCAGTTAAATCATCAACAGCAATTAAAGGATTAACAATCAATTATTAACATCCCTAGTTCCGACAGAATGCCGCAAAATCGACATAATAAGAATAAAATCCATCGATAATACATATTGTGGACTTTTAAATACCCTTTTTTTCTACATTTACTAGATCATATGCTACATAGGTATTTTTCTACTTATGTAAAAAAAAAAAAAGTGCAATATCAATATTAATTAGTGTATTATTTATATTTATGTTAATATTTCAATTCATTATAGAATCTGTCCAATACCACTTGCATGTGCAATACTGTGTTTTCTATAATTAGTACTTATGTTGTTTATTTCAGTTAATTTTTATTTTTGCTGCTCTAACTTTGCATACTTCCCCACTTTAGGATTAATAAAGGCTTATCTTATCTTATTTTTTCCTTTTAAAGTGTCAATAGACAAGCTTTTTTTTACATTAAAGTGAATGTCGACAGCACAATGTAACGACTTTTCAATACTGACACCATCTGCATTTTGTTTGGTTCCCTTTTGGCCTCACTGCCACTGTGCAACTCTATCTGCCACAGGGTCTGAAATCTGAAAAATGAAAGTTGAATTTACAGCACAGATGGTGGAACAACCAGAATAACTGTGGAAACTCTACCTGGCAACAGAAAATAAACCTCGCCGTTGGAGGTGGTGAAGACAGCGAAGAAGGAGAGTGACAGAAACCGACAGAAAACGAGAGTGAACCTGAGACAGGCATTCACTCAATGGAGAGAGCTCTGGGATTTGAGGGAATTCAGAACCGACTTTCAGTCAGCGTTATTTCTACTAGATCGGAAAGTAATAAGATGTGCCTCTTTATTATTACAATCGAGTTGCTCGGCTGTGAGGAAACTGGAAATCGATCTAGTCTTTGTGACAGTGGTATTACCAGTAAAACCAGTGGAGAATCCTCAGTGGGGAAAGTTCTCTGTTGTCCTTTAAATTTATTTAAATACACTTATCATTTTGTGACATATCGATACATATTTTCTTGAAGGCAAAAACAAGACACACTTTGATCTTGCACACGATGAGATTAAAGCACTTTAAACATCATAAAAGCCCACTACTAAAAACACCAAATGTTATATTAAGTCAGGGACTTGAATCGAATAAAATCCCGAAACACAGCTGGAAATCTAAAACTCACTTACTGGCACCACATATTTGTTTTGTGTGTGTGGATTTCTGCATGTGTCCAAACGCTTGAGGTCTGCCTAATTACTACAAAGAGGCTGCAAGATTTACTAAGCATATCATTCTTCCCTGTAGCGCATGAATGTATGCGCTCTCGTGCACTCGGTGTGTGAGAAAGCGCGCCACTACCAAAACGCTTGTGGTCAGCTGTACAAGTAGACGACTGAGAGGCAGCCGAGTTATTATACGAAGCGCAGCGGAGCCTTCAGCTGACTTGTGCGTTCGAGTGCGTATTGTGAGCAGGGTGCATGTGTTGTGTATCTCTGGTGTGCACATGCAGCCATTACACCTCCAGACAGCTTAATCCTAGCTTACCAACAGACCGACGGGTTTCACTTTTCAAATACCTGCGGTTTGCTTTAACAACCAGACATTTTAGAAGCAATAAAGTTAATCTACAGTAGGTGTGTATGGTACAGAATGTGTCTGCGCTTTTTTTCCCCGTTGCTTTTACGAGACTGCATGCGCGGACGTGTTCATGTAAATTGGCTCTATAGCGTCGCAAACGTCAATATTTGATTCTGTTATACAGCGTTGCGCCTCAGAGCAGACAGGTGTGTCCGCATGCAAAGGGACTCGGTGTCTTCGTGTGTTTTCCTACCGATGACACTCTTGGCAAAGGAGGCCCTCTTCAGCGTCGCTAAACCCAGGTCTCCGATCTTCACCGAGCCCGTGGGTCCTGTGATGAAGATGTTGTCACATTTCAGGTCTCTGTGAATGATGGGTGGGGCTCTGGTGTGCAGGAAGTGGAGGCCTTTCAGGATCTGTCTGCACCACGAACGAAGGACCTTGATTTTCATCACCTTGAAGCGCTTCAGGTAGCTGTGGGACACATAAATCACACGTAAGGGACTGTTGTCATTGAACAAAGCAAGACACAGTGGACAAAAAAATATGTAGAGAGAAGCAGATTCGGTCCTGCATCAGCAGCTATGTTCCTATTCAAGTGTCCCAACACAGCAGCTGCCAACGTGAGGCCTCTCTGAATGCCACTCTGTGCAAAATCCCAAACCAAAGCTACTGTACCACTATAAACTCCACAACTCAGATGAACACTCTGAACTGTTTTGAATGAATTCTTTTCTATGTATTTCTCCAGGACACTGAAAACAATCTCCAGCATAATTAATTATTCCAAATTAAAGCATGAAGAGGCAGAAGAAAGCCAAAAAAAGATAAGAGGAGCAGCAAAAAATGTAGATAATGCTTCAATTAAAGTATAAAGCTTACAAAACAAAAGCAGATTAGACGATGTTAGAAGACAATTCCAGTTTAGAGATGATCATAAATACTCACAGATATAAATGTGCACACAAACACAGAAACAAAGGCAGTTATTACCAGACATTCTGGTGACTACATGAGACACTGCATACCAAATAACCACCAGACCAATGACACAAACAAGATTTAAAACTTGCTTTTTATCTTCAAAAAGACCATTTTAATCTGGATAAAACTATTAGAAATGGCTCGATTCAAAGAGGGGCTATTTCAAAGTCAATGAATAGTCAACACTCACAAGTTTTATCTTCATTTAGCACAACATTTTAGAAGACGGTTCAATTTGAACAGTAATTTTACTATTTTAAGAACTTATTTTAGCAATTTTTCCACCACTAAGTTTAAAAAAATATCCTATCACAATCTCAGGCAAATGTCAAATTGTTGGCAACTTCTAATGAATCGGTTGCAGCCACAGTGATGCACATCAGCAGAGAGGTTTTAATGAATTAATGCAATGTAACTATGTAGATCTGTCTCATGTCCATGCCACCAATTTTAGATACTTGTCAAGTGTTTACTTTTGAATCCTGAAGTAATTTTAGTTTCGGTCGACTGCTTTTTCTGCACACTCATTCCTGCTCAGAGTTACGAGCGTCTGGAAACTCTCCCAGTGTTCGCCGTGAGGAAAGCAGGGAAACACCCTTTGATATGCTGCCAGGCCATCGCAGTCCTAACACAGATCCACACCTGTGGGTGATCGAGAATAACTCCACCTGGTTTGTATGCCATAGGAATGCGAGAGGAAACTCATGGAAAACGCCACAGAAGTGATCTCAGGTAGCAGAAAAACTGCATGTATTCCCAGATTGACCATTTCTCCTGCTGCCACTGAATACTGCGGTTAAAGCATGCGGTGTCAGTCAGACTCCATTTTTTGATGAGAACGCTTCCAATTCATTCGTCAGTGAGTCTTGATTAACTAATTTAAAATCAATATTTGAATTCTACTGTTTCCCATTTTGTCCTATCAGCTGGAGACTCCCCTCCTCAGCAATTCGGTGAAATCCGAGAAGGCTGCCAAACGGTCGCAGTGACACGTGGGAAGCAGGGTGTACTCCTGAGTCATCCTCTAATCATCCAGATGATGGGGAGGATTCAGAGCAGTTCAACCGTTTCACCTCTCGGCGTCTTTAGGATTTCCTGGAATGTGCTCATGCCCCAGCTGCACAGCAGATAGACTAATTAGATCTAGCTAGATTTTATTCCTCATACTGTACTTTGGTTCCTCAAATGTAAGCAATCTTGTTCTTGACCTATTTACTGCATTTAATTCAATGTCCGAGCATTAAACTGAGCTCAGACTAAATGCGCCCACAGTGTTGGTGAATAACAGGCGTCTGACTGACCCTGTAAAAAAAATACTGTTCTCTCGAGTGGCGACTCCCTCGTGGGTTTTCTACTCTGAGTCTGGACAGCTGACCTGATGCAGAGCAGCATCGATGAGTCTGCCTCCAGCTTCACTGGCAGCTTCAGTGTCACCAGATGCTGTTACAATGCGGCGACTGCAAATCTGTCCTAAATAATGTGAAGCAGCTCAAACAACAGTGGACTGACCAGTCTGCTCCAACCCTCATCCAGACTGTTGAGTGGAGCAACACGAGTATAAGTACACTCACTGAAGTGCTGCGAGTCCATTCGATGCCACTCTGTACTTCCACTCCACTCCTTTTCAAAGGGAAACATTGTACACTTATATCACGGCTGTAGTTAGTAAGAGGGCTGCATGATGAGGGGGAAAATGAAATGGGAGATTTTGTTTTTCTGCAACATGTATAAAAATGTGTTTTCAAGCAATGACTTAATTAACTCTATATAAGGGAGGAATTATTCGTTCAAGAATGACTATGACCATTTTGTAGGGAAGCACATTTGCAGAAAAGATGAAAACATTTTTTTAAAAAGACTTTTACTGCAAATACCTTTTGTTAAAGTACAAATGCTTTGAAACCTTTCTCATATGCTATAACACTGACTAAGGTATCCAAAACACTGTCTTTCTATGGTTGGTATTCTGATCTGGGTCATCATATAGAGCTTAGTGTTGCTGATTTAAAAGGTCAAACAAATGAGTTGTGTTGCCTCGTGTGGTGGTAACAACTGCAAGACACTGCAGACAGAGGATCTGCTTTTTTGTCAACATCATCCTTTCTGTAGCCAAATAATTACGGCCTACATGATAACCCCAATTGTTTTTTGATCAGTACTGACCTCACAAGTTGCCTATTTATCGCAATTATTCATTGATTGTAGAGACAACATAGTTTTAATGTACTCTCACATTTGCATTAACAGTGCACTGCCGTCCAAGTTGCGCTATAGTTCTACTCATGTACAAATCTGCATTAAAATAACAATTAAAATGTGGGTCTGCATCAGTGCATCAAAAAGAACTGCAGCCAAAATGTCTCATTCGCTGAACATCTGCTTGTCAATAGCCACAACAATTCACCAATCTTCTCTAATAGCTGTGCAGGCTGGGGTAGAAGCTAAATGCTCGGCTGTGCACAGAGAAGCTTCTAGTCTCCGCTCAGTTACAGCAGTGCAGCAGCTCAGACAGACGTGTGACCAAAAACTACTTTGAAAAGAGTGAAATAAGCTGCTCTAATGTCAGATTTAACCGAGCTGAAACCAACAGATTTTATTGACTGTTCAATATGCACGGAACATTAAAAGCGCCAATATCACAGTCGATCATGTTTTTTAATGTGAGAAGCCAAAATCACAATCATGTCTGAGAGTCCGTTAATTGTGCAGCCCTACAACGGACATCTTTATTGAAACCAAATCTTCCTTTAAAGCAACTCTCGCCTGTTTCTCACTCATTTTGCTGTGAACATGTGGAGGCTGCATGTCAACAAACTCTAAATTTATTTAGCAGACGCTTTTATTCAAAGAGACGCACACCTGACAGTAAAAACACATTCACATTCACACACCAGTGGCAACAGAGCTGCCATGCAAGGTGCTGCCTGCCATTGGGAGCAACTTCAGGTTTAGCGTCTTGCCCAAGGACACTCCAACTGTGGAGGGGCAGGGGATCGAACCGCCAACCTTGCGATTAGAGGACAACTGCTCCAACACCTGAGCCGCCCATAAATCATGTAAATACTTATTTTTGTGTGTGTTAGATATCAGTGTATCAAAGAAACCCTAATTTGGAGCAAATTATCAGACAGGCTTGTAAATTAGCCATAGAAAACAAGAAGCATGCAAGTTTTCTTTTGTTTGACCAAGTTTTTGGATAATACGCAATGAACAGTTTCAAAAAATACTGAAAAACACTCATCAAAATTTCCCTCCCCAGTGGCCGAGATGGTGTCTCTTTAAATTGCTTGTTTTGTCTGACCAGCCGTGCAAAACCTAAAGCGATTAAATTTTCCGCCACATAAGACAAAGACAAGGCAGCAATCAAGAAAACAGCAGAATCTTTGGCAGTTTTTCTGAATAAAACGATGATTATAATAAGCGTTAATGGCTCGTTTTCTCCATGATGGACTAAAGCAATTAATAACTTGAACTGTGAACCACACGTGTGTCCGATTACCAGAACAAAAGCAGCTTCGGCAGCTGACAATAGCTCATTAAGTTTTACTACTGAAGCTCACCTACAAGTGTCTTCCCTGAGTTTAAAATGTGCAAGTCTTGTCTTCCAACCACTTCTCTACAGTGTGTCACTAAAAACCCCAAAGTAAAGTTCAAGACAGAGAGCATGTTAACAGATGGAAATAATCCTTGAGGGATGTTTTAAAGTGAAAATACCTCAAATACACATCTGCATAACAACAACCTCTCCCCCTGTTCCATCAAACTCTCACTAATTCCTATTTCTTGCAAATCTCTTAAGAAGCAGCACACCTCGTATCCTCTTCCTCTTACCTAACCGCCCTCCTGTCTCCTCCGCTTTCTTTCTCGCCCGTTCCGAAGTCAGAACGGTGTTGACAGACATGTTAAACCCCGTGGCATGCAGCCCTGGAGTGACACTGCACAAAGCATCTCTCCCGCTCACAATCAGTCGACCGTGCTCTCGCTTCGACACACAACACAGGACCCGAGTACTTGGACGTGTATTTGCGCTGCGAGAAACATGCAGTTATGCATGTATGTACTGTATTTGAAAAGTAAACACACATCATACGTGCACTGACAGATAGGCACAGAAACATACGTTTACACAGCAATAGCAGCAGTACAAACATGTCTCGCTGCCTCCTTGTCACACACACACAGAAACACACACAGATAAGTGAGGCCTCGAATACGCTGAACTCATGCTGGTCAGTATTTCCATCCCCATAATCTTTCTCCTTCACTATCAGTCCTCCCCTCTTGTCATCTCTCTCTTTCTTTTTCCACAGCTTCAGCGTGCAACAGTCCTTCTCCTTTCTGAGTCTTCATCTGGACGTCGGCCAAATCCCTGTTGCAGCCCTGATCCTCTCATAAGCGCACATGCACAAATACATGCATGTGTGTATGAATAAAATCTACTTTCTGCACAAACAGAGAGTTAATCAGCAACAATTTAATAAGAGATACACTATTATTGTCATTTTTAAGCAAAATGCAGATAAATACATAAAAATCACTGGGTCAAGTGTTTTTTGTTTAAGATGTTTTTTGGTCTTTTTCGGCTTTATTGGCTTGGACAGAGAGAGATAGACAGGAAAGCAGGGGGAGAAGAATGGGGGAAGGACCTGCAGCGAAGAGTCATGAGCTGGACTCGAACTCACGACCACTGCATCGGGGACTTTAGCCCCTGTACATAGGATGCCAGCTCAACCAGGTGAGCTGTAGCGGTGCCCGGTTCCAGCTTTTTAAGTTTGCATCAAATGACATCTTTGCATTTGGGACTGTTTAAATTTGTATTTTTCATTATTTTCTGCCGTTATTAGACTAAATAATACAAGATTAAATGAGAACGATCATTTGCTGAAGCCATGTATTATTATACTATGTGTACAACACAATGAGCTAATCACCATCAGTGCACATTTCTGTTAATGCAAGCAATATACAAAAAAAAGTAACATTGGCTCATTATCACACTTGACGCCCAGCCAAACATCTTCTGTTTACCATTATCTTTTGCATTTTTTTGTGTTGAGCAAGGTATTTTTAGGATATGTCATTAACTCATGTTTAATTCAAAAAAGAAAAAAAAACTCTTCCTACACTCATAAAGGGAGTTCTGCTTATTCATAGGGAATCTTTACACATGCTGGGTTGTCCAGGAATAATGTTGCTGGGTATTAATCTTAATTTTAGATGTCAGGTAATTTGGGATAGTATAAAATATTGCAGAGTCTTAATCCTAATAGTTAAATTAGTCAGGTAAATATGTAAGTGAGGACTGAACCTTAATATTTAAACCTATGAGGTCAATCTGTCACATTAATCTCGTTCCTCTATTAAAAAGCACTTTGGTTCAACATCTGTTGCTGTTCATGTGCTACATGAATGATGGCGACCCGAGTTGACTAAATGTAAAGTCTCTCTTTGTTTGGTACACTGCAGGAAGTGGTGAGTTACAGAGAGTGTTGGAAAACAGAAGCACATTTTCTGTTAAACTTTTATTGTCACATATGCAGAATGCAGCACAGATGCAGAATCAAGTCTCTGCACAGCTTCTGTATTTGATCACAAGTGTATGAAGCTTTTCTAGTCTTCCAGTGGAGGGCGCTACTGTCCTTGTTAGCACTGTGGTGCTGAATTAATTCCCTCACTCTGTGGTCACAGGTGGGTCAGCGGTTTGTCACTCTACTTTGCAGCTTTTCAACTGTAATCCATTTGTCAATTCATGTGACTACCAGTATCTCTCACACTGTGGTTTTCTGTCCTCCTTTTTCTGTCACTTTAAACTGACTGTACACAACTATCGGTTTGGTCATCCGTCTGTCTCCGTCTACCCCCAGCGCCCAGGAATGATGTCAGGAATGAGAGGAATCTGCAGCAGAAGCAGCAGCTGGCAGGTGGGCCGATGTCCCACGACGCGCTGCACGGCGCGGGCTGCGCTGCCACTCCAAACCCGCGTTCAGCCTTTTATTGTAATCGGGAGCTCAACAATCGCATTCACGTCCGCAGACACACGTCTATTCTGAACAGCAGAGAGAGGCTGGCATTCGGTCACGGCATGTACAATGACAGTTACAGACGCGTCAATTCTCCACAGGGAGGTGGGGGGTGGTGGTGGAGGAGGGCTAGAGACTGACAGACGCCTGTGGAGCCGGCATCCAAAAGCACCAGATTGTCACACACATATGGATGATTCCTGAGCTTATTAGGTAAAATGAATTAAATATTTAAAAGTGGATGAGGGGCTGCAGGGTGGTGCAGTTGGTAGCATTGTTGCCTCGCAGCAAGAAGGTTGCCGGTTCGCGTCGTGGTGGGGGCACCGGGATCTTTCTGCGTGGAGTTTGCATGTTCTCCCCGTGCAGCGTGGGTTCTCTCCAGGTTCTCCGGCTTCCTCCCACACAGTCCAAAAACATGTTGAGGTTAATTGGTGATTCTAAATTGTCCGTAGGTGTGAATGTGAGTGTGCTTGGTTGTCTGTCTCTAAGTGTAGCCCTGTGATAGACTGGTGTCCCCTGCCTTCACCCTGAGTCAGCTGGGATAGGCTCCAGCCCCCCCGCAACCCTAGTGAGGATTAAGCGGTGTATAGATAATGGATGGATGGAAACTGGATGAGAAATAGTTTCGAAAGCAGCTTGTTAGAGTTACAGTACAGTCTGACTTTGCATCTTTTCACTCTTGAAGGTTGTGTAAGCCCCGCAGTGCAGGACATAAATACTGTACATAACACAGACATACAAAACATAGCCTACATAGAACAAGTCAGACACCCTAGCTGACCCACTAACAGCTGCAATTAGCACTGAAACCCTGCTGGGACGTCAGCGCTTTACAACACTAGTGAGGAAGGCCTTTTGATAACAGAAGAAAAATTGCATATTTGTCTGATGGGAAAGAGGAAACTGGAGGTGAGTCATCATCTGTACCGGCTCTTCAAGAGAAAAGAAGGAAATAGGAGCTACCGCAGGTGTTACGGTTTTCTTCCTGGGATCAACATATTTTTCTTCCCAGATATTTTTTGTTATTGTATAAATTGTTAGAAGTTCATTCACCAGATCCTTGTGTTCAAATGATGTAGAAAAGCTCAAGCCATGGTGGTAGAGAATACAGACAAGACACTTCTGCACTGCTAACTGCCAGTACAGTTTCTTCCCAAAAGTAACTAAATTACCATATTGGAGAATTCATGGTGTTTTTTTTCCCACATACTCACGTTTTTAATGTGCCAGATGTCATGAGCTCAGTGACGAGAACAATACATTTCTTTCCTTTGCAGGGACCCTCCCAGGAGTCGTAGAAGCGGACAATGTTAGGATGCTGGAGACCCTTCAACATCCCGGCCTCCTCTTTGAACCGCTGACGCTCCGACTTGGACAGCTTACGATCCTGCACACAGGAAAGAAGGAGTAAAGTTAGTCATGCATTCACAAAGCAAGAGAACAACAATGCAACGTACATGTGAAGTGCGGAAGGGAAACCGCGCTGTATCGATATCGTAACGTGATTACAGCGAATGCAGTTACAATCAAATCAAGTGAGAAGAGCTTTTAAAGGAAGCAAGAGCTACTCAACCAAAGAGAAACCGGGAGGAGAGGAGAGATAACAGATGGACACAAAGCGTCTACAGTCTGAGATGAAAAACAACTTTTATGTTCCACATTGATGCAGCATCTAAACATGGCACTAAAGCACAAATGCAGATGAAATGTGAAGCCTGATGCTATCAAAATAACATTGCTTATTGCTCGAGAAATGGATGTGGGTGAAACAGGAGTGTCCTTTCATCTTCACTCAAAGAAGCTACAAACATCCATTAGAGTGGGTGTGATGCTGTGTTTTGCTCTGTCATCTTTTGATCTGTGAGGCACCGTCAGGCAAACTGGTCTATAAAAATGATTTATGAAAAAGCAAATTTGAACTCACAAGTGGAGCAAAATTGATACGTGCATCTGGTTTATTTTTATTTTATTTCCATATTTCTCTCTCGCTGTAAACAGCCAAGTTGCTCCACTGGGACCAGAGGACCTTATCAGAAATCACTCCCTATTAACCCTCTGAACCAAAGAACCTACTGGGAATTTTCAAAGCTAGCTATCTAGATAAAGAAACCATGTAGTAGCTGAGAGAATGATTAGATTTAGAACTTTCCAACAGTCTTCAAACTACTCATCTGTCATGTGCCGTTTTGTCAGACAACTTCTTGTAAAAGTTCATCCTAATCAATTTATTCTAACTGTTCACCAACAATAAACCATTTCTCCAACCAGATTCTGTAAAAAAACAAAAAAAACTACGTGCTCTTTGGTACAACAGCCATTAGTGAGTCAGCTGTGACTAACAGTCATGTAACAACAACTCAGAGACACCCTGCCCACAACTGCAGGCTGTTTACACAGAGCAGGTACAAGACAAATATGGAGACTAATCACAAATTTAAGTATTAAAATATCTTTAGCATGTATTGTTACCATTTTTTCAAGTATTGGCAACATCTGTTGGCACCTGCAGAAATGATATACCCATTGACTTCAGTTGTTTTTTTTCCAAATAAGTAGTTTTTTAATCATAGAAATTCAACGATTGTTCTTCTTTCTTTATGATTTATGACTTCTCACTACTTCTAACAATAGTTGCTCTATTTCCATTGAGGTGCAGGACTTCATATGGCATAGAAAAAAGAGCCCCAAAGTGAATACAGAAGTCTGACAAGAGCAGAAGAGACCCAGAAACTGCTTGGAGTTCAGGGTGTTAACTACACAGTACATCATATTTACTTTCTGCTATAACTTTTGACCAAAAACAAGTTGTGTGCGTGGCGTGGTCACTACTTTTCGTAACAATCTTACATTCACGAAATACACTACACCTGTCAGTGTGAGAATGAGTACTTTCAATATCAATTAGTCAACAAAAATTAGTCATAGCTGTGCAATCCAGTTTTTTCTTCATTTTTTTAGGGAAGACTGAGAAAATACAGCTTTGAGAAGGTAAAACCAAATATTTTGATGCATTTTTTTGCACTAAAGTTGATTTTCTAAAGAGACGTAACGTGTTTTCTGCTGTCATCGATGTGATCAGTGATTGCTTCCCACTAATAAAGCCACCCGATCTGTTCTAAAACATACATTAAATCCTCAGCTTCCACCTCCTACATCTTGAGTGCATATTTTGTTTGGAAGCGAATCGCAGTCTATAACATTTGCACCGACTTGAGTTCTTATCTATAACAGTCGAAGCCAACCAATGAGAGCTCGACCAAAACAAGCTAAGAAAAGAAAGTTACAGTCTGCATTCTTCCATCCTGTGGAAGACCGGCTTCTTAGAAATATCCTGCGCACATACACACTCGTACGCTGGTTTTAATGGGCATTCCAGCTCCACCACCGATACCTCAATAAACACAGAAGCAAAGGGCAAGGTCAGTTCCTGTAAAGAACTTTCAGTGTGTGCATTTGGACATGAACACGTGAGCAAAAAGCTGCCATGCGTTGATCCGTGTCCAGCCTGTGTTGCTTGTTTACATGTCGGCTTTCGATTCAAGAGAAGAAAAAGCTTAAATAATTGATTGTTTTTTTCTTTTGTTTTGGTGCAATATAAAGGGATATAGTGATTTCTGACAATCTGGCTTATGTATAAGTGTTGAGGCGAGTGTCAGCACATGTTTGTTTGGTTTTGTCGGAGTGTGTTTGAACAGTTTCCTCAACCAGCTCTGTGTCTAACCGTAGATGACACATTCAGCACATCGCTGCCCCCAAAAATAAACAAAATCAGCGCTGCCTGACGACGATAAAATAAGGTGACGAAACCTCCAAAACCACAGGATTGCAGCCCAAATATGGTTGCGACATCCTTTGCGACGATAACGTATTATGTCGCTCACAGCCAACCTGCAGTTACAAGTAGGTTGCACCAGATGTGGGATTAAAACAACAAAAAGAGAGGTTCCAATTAACCTGGAACAAACTGAAAAATTTGCACTATGAGATGGAATCATGACACACATCGCCAATGTTTCATAACGTCCGTGACCCTTTTAGAGGATGAAATTACAGGAAAGTGAGCAGACGGATGAACACGGAAAGAGCAGCGAGGATGACACAGAGGCCGGCCGGGATTGTGTAGACGCACAAAGGACAGGAAACACGGCGAGGAGAAATGAGACACGGCAGCGTCATTTTAAGGTGACGCAAGATCAGACGTTGGAGGTTAGACACCTACTCTCAGCTACATTAGACGGATTATCACCATGGCAACCGGTTTTTAAAAAGAGGTCCGATGAGGGCACCCTGATTCCAGTTCAGCTGGTTTGTTGTTTTCGTCGGGAAGCATCAACACTGTTCTCTCGTCAAATGCTGTGAATCAGTAAACTATGAATTTAAAAACAACAAAGCATCCGGTGCATTCGCACACATCATCTGACGCAAACTTGCCATCAATCATTCAAGTCATTTAAAGTTACAGGATTTCAACATGAAGCCACAAAAGCTCCTAGAGCATGATGGTACAGCGGACGGCGTCCAGAACACTTAAATTAACGGGTAGTTCATTAGAATTGATAAATAACACAATCGGCAAGTCCAGTGTGTGAGTCTTTTGAAATGTTATAAAGCTATTAGAAAACCTTGTGAGCGGCTTCGGAGATTAGAACAATCTCTGAGGTGATGATCTCATATTGTCATATTGTATAACCCGAAGCCTCATCTATATCATATGACTTACTCACACACACACTCACACACACACACGTCTGAAAGCTTCAGTGTGTTTCTGAAGTGCATTAATGTGCGTGTGTGTGTGTGTGTGTGTGTGTGTGTGTGTGTGTGTGTGTGTGTGATGGCCTATAACAGCTTATCCCCCCCTCATCCTGTAGCAACCATTTTCCTGATGATAGCCCATTAGCAACCGACACACAAAGCACCCGTGTGTGTGCTCACCAAGCCTCGCTGCCATTCTTTCATTCTCTAGTCTCTTTCCCATTATGATCACGTGACCCCCGTGGTCACATGACAACAGCAGCAGGTCACCTGACTGACTGGAAGCCCACATTCCATTTCCCAGCAGCACTTAGAAAAGACCCTGACCACCCATATAACTCTTAAGACACCTCCCTCTGGGCATTAGAAGATTACTTCTCCGGTTTTCACTCTGCGCTCTCTCTCACTATGCGTGTGCACTTCGATTACACTGTAAAAAGAAATCTGGGAAAATCTGGCATTAAGTGTGCCACAACAAATGGTTGGAAAAATAGTGGGATGTAGCGCTCAAAAAAGGAAAAAAAATGCTCAAAATAACTGAGAATATCTGTAAAATAATGAGATTTTTAGCTGATTTAAAGGCAGTGAAACTATGTAATTTTATGGTCACACATTGTTGAAGAAGAAATGACTCTTTTTGGAATTAGAGATGTTTTTTAAGTGGACGACATGTTTAGTCTTGGTCATTTTTTTTTGCTTGTTTGTTTTTTTAACACTCAAGATGTATATTTAGACTTGTTTTTCTGCTTTCTTTTACAAGGTATCGTCAATTTAACAAAAGAGGGAAAGTGTGTAAAATACTAGTTTAAAATGTGTTTACCATGTTTCAAACCTTAAAACAGATAGCATTTATTTTAAATAATGGCAAATATCTGTAAAGATAAATAAATAAAACAAGCAAACGTGTGCTTTGTTGATTCAATTACAGTAAAAACTGTATAGCCAAAAGAAAAAAATACATTTCTGAATAAAAATACAGATTTCTGATGTAGACATGATGTATAGTTTTAGTCTTTTTAAAAAAATGTATTTATTTTTATTTTTTTTAACAGTCAACATGCAAATTCATTCTCTAATTTACAGGATATTATCTGTAATTTAGAAACAGGAAAAATCTGAAAAATAACACTTGAATAAGTTGAGAAATGTATTTACCATTTTTCAGTCCTTAATATATGAAATATTTCTTTGAAATTATAGTAAACATTTGTCTTGTTTCATTTCATTTTTTTGAAATCAGCTTTAAATACGGTAAAAACAGGGTGATTATATGGTCGAATGTTGTAAAAGAAGAAATTATCAATCATAAAACTACAGATTTTTGATGTGGACATTATGTATAGGTTTGGCCAGTTTTTAGTTTGTTTTTTGTTGCAGTTTTTTTTTTTTTTTTTTTTTAATCAGTGTTTTATGATTTTATTAATTACCTATCTACTAATCAATATATAAGATAACAAAAATGTATAGTTCAAATCAAATCATTTTTTTGACAGTGTACAGAGGACTAGACTTGCTTTTAGTCCCTGAATATGACATGTGAGGCTGAAGCCTTGGTTAGGGTTAGGAAAGTGGTGGCTACGGTAAGCGGTTAGAGTAGGTCTCCAGGAAATTTAAGTAAGCCGATGTGATGTT